GCTTGGCCACCGCTGTGAAAGTTGCTCAGGGAGGGGGGCAACGCCAGAGGGGAAGGTCTGGGTGCCCTGTGACACAGTGGGCTGGTGTCACACCCAGCAGCCTGCCCAGCACAGGCACCCCTAGAGCTGCTGCCACCGCTTCCTGAGGACATGTGACTTCCTGTTTTCTAAATTCTTAGCCTGCAGTGTCATTGTCAGTTTGTCTGAGACTAGGAGTGGGGTTGAGCAGTAGTGGGACCCGGGCTCAAAGTTGGGGGTGCAAAGTCAGGAAGGTCAGAAGGCCTGGAAGGTGGCCCTTCCGACCTTAGCTGTGGGCTCCTGTGATTCATACTGGTGCCATTAGTTCCTGTGAACTGAGCACTCACCAAGGGCCAAGTCCACCCCACTTGAGGGCCGCACGCCCTGGGAAGGAGCCAGGGTTGCTCCGGGTCACGTGGTAGATGAGCCGGGTCTCGTCCTCACCTGCGGCGCCTAAGTGCTTCTGTTGAAGTGCGGAAGAACTGGACGTGAGCAGGCCGGGAAAGGCTGCCATGTAGAATGGCCTACTCTGCATAATTTGTGCTTCTGGAGACAGAACTGGAACCAAAGTGACTTTCTTACACTCTGAAAATTAGAGCTCTCCATCTTCGTGGGTGGGAAGTGAGTAGCTCCCCATCACCAGAGCTGTTCAAGCAGAGGCGAGAGGTGCAGCTCAGGGAAATCCCTGCAGAAGGACTCACGTCCCTGGGGACACACAGGAGAGGAGAGGAACTTTGCATCAGGTGCCCTCCAGAGCTTTCCCGCAACCTTCTGGCCTTAACAAGATCTGAGTGTGCAGCCAGATCACGGGAGGGCAAAGCATGCTGTCGGCCATGCAGGGTGCGTCCTGCCGCGAGGGCATCCTTTGGTGAGGCCGGGATTCTCAGCACGCCCACGCTGCCGAGGCCTCCTGTGCACCCAGCCCTCCCTCCACAGTCACCAGCAACTGGGTGCTCACACCCCTGAAAGGCAGGTGTTCCCATCACCAACCAAGGAGCCTGGCAGCTTCCACCCCAACTCTGGCTGGAAGGGGTGGCAGATGGAGGCCTGCTGGTTCCTGCTGTTTGCACCAGCAGAGCCTCCAGGGTGGCCAGAGGGCCCTGGAGCCAGTGCCCTGCCTGCGCCTGTCGTCCCAGCTCCTCGGGAAGAGGCTGAAGCAGGCGTTGGCAAGCTCCAGCTCAGCCCGGCAGCAGAGGAAGATGCTGCCAGAGATGGCAGGTGTCCCCACACCTGGTCTCACCTGCTCTCTGTCTCTGCCTTGGGATGCCCTGGTCAAACTGCTTCTGTGGACGGGAACTGACGCTGGAAGGGCTGAGGGAGCTGCCCCTGGATGCTAGTCAGAGGCGAACCCAGTGTGCTGCGTCTTCCCGACGGAGGGCAGCGATAGGCCAGTGAAGAGGTGGCAGCAAGGGTACAAACTCACCTGCCAGGCTGCCAGAGGGGCCTCGCGGCCTGAGCCTGCCGCGGCTGTCGGGCAGACAGCAAGGCTGTGCCTCCAGAGGCAGGGAGGCCTGGGAGGAGGGGACAGGCTCTGCCTGGGGCTGAGAAGCAAGGAGTCATGTGCCCTGAGGTGGCATCCTGGGGGGCAGCCCGCTGCTGGGGGGCAGCCTGCACACGTGGCCTTGAGCCCCACCCAGACTCCACCATTGTTGGTGCGGAGGAGCTGGAAGCCATCACTGACAGGTTGCCTGCTGGTGCCTTCTTATTCAGTGCTCACCACAGACTGACGGTAGACGCGCAGCCCTCCATTTTGCAGATGAAGAAACTGAGGCCCAGCGTGAGGTGACTTTCCAAGACCATGCAGTTAACAGGTGGCAGGGGAGGTACCAAGGTCTCCCTGTCCCTGGTCTGGGGCTCCTCAGCCTCAACAGCCCCTGGCACAGAGCTGATGCCCCCGAATCACCTGATTCTGTAGTTGAATTGGGTCCCGGCCTCCCCGCACAGCACAGGGCCGGATGATGGGGAGCCTGCCGGGGAGGGGTGTGCCGTCCATGTCCTTCTCCTCCCCAAGCAACGGGGCAGCATCCCACGTGCCCTGGCCGGAAGATTCTGCTGCTCCCTGAGCAGGAAGGAAACCTGTCGCAGTGGCTCATCTCCAGGGAGACGGCCAATCCCCTGCCCCCACTGGGCTGCGTCCACACAGCACAAACGCTGCTCCTATCTGTTCTAAATTCACGTCCAGTGATCCTCTGTTCTGCGTTTCTCTCAGCCCTTCCACCCTGTAAATCGCCACCAGCATCTCCTCTCCAGCCCAGAAGGCAACCCCCCCACCCCGGGGGACCTTGGCTGGGGCCGAGGGTCTCTGAGCCTTCAGGGCCTCACCAAGCGTCAGCGCGAGTGTTGTGGGATGCACCCAGTGGTCCTGGAGCGCCTGGCCAAGGAGGGACGCAAGTCCTGCTACGTCCTGGAGTGCTCTGTGGGCTGCAGGTGTTGCCCAGGAGACGTGCCAGCACAGCCCGAGCTGGGCACCCCGGGGTCACCACCCACAGGCTGTGTTCTTGCCCGAGAGGATTCTGGCAAGACCGCAGCTTCGCGAAAGAACGGCAAAATGTTAGAAGAGAGGACGACGGAGAAGGGGACAATCTCAAGGGAGGGTGGGTCCTCTCAGAGAGGAGGGGGCACACCCCCTGCCCTCCAGTTTTATTGGAAAGTTTCCAGAGTCCCATCCAGGTCCACCTCTTGACTTCTGTTTGTTTTGGTGCTGGGGAGTGAACCAGGGGTACTCAACCACTGAACCACACCCCAGCCCTTTTTTATATTTTATTTAGAGACAGGGTCTCACTGAGTTTTTTCGGGCCTCACAAAGTTGCCGAGGCTGGCAATCCTCTTGCCTCAGCCTCCCAAGCTGTAGGGATTTACAGGTGTGTGCCACTGCGCCCGGCTACCTCTTGACTTTTTTTTTTAATCTTTATTTTTTAGTTGTAGGTGGACATAATACCTTTATTTCTTTTTAATGTGGTGCTGAGGATTGAACCCAGTGCCTCGCCCATGCTAGGCCAGCTCTCTACCTCTGAGCACCAGCCCCAGCCCCCTACCTCTTGACTTTTGACAGTAGGATGGTCTCAGACTTCTAGTCCCCACTGGGCATGGTAAAGGGTCACTTTGGCCGAGGCTGAGCAATTCTAATGGGAAGTTGTTCTTACAGATTTTATGGTTGGAGGAATTATTCTTCTGTCCCTGAGTTCTGGGATGTGTGAGGGCTGCAGAAGTGAGGTGGCTGGTGGGGAGGGGCCTTCTGGGCCTGCACTTCTGTAGAGAGCGGGTAGTTTGCTGAGGAGCATAGTGTCCGGTTAGCCAGGGGGCTGCAGGTGAACTGCTTTTTAAAAGAAAGGGCTGTGGGGGCGGTACAGTGGGCCAGTCCCCGCCCTCCTGACTCCTGTTCCTTCCCCGACAAGAGCCAGTCACAGAAGGTGGGTCGGGTGGGGTTGCAGGAGGGGGTCGTGCCAGCACTGGCAGGCCTGCAGGGTACTGGCTCCAGCAGAGGCCGGCGCAGGACCGCACTGTGTGGTCAAGGAGAGACAGCAGTGAGCAGGGCTGTCTGGGCCTGGGGTGGTGAGGCAGACCTGGGTGGTGGGCCTGGTTGGTGGCAGGAGCTGGAGGAAGTTGACTAAAAGATCGGCTGGCTGGGGCCAGGAGGGGTCTTGAATCAGGGTGGGCACCAAAGGCTGTGGACAGAGGTGTGGAGGGTGGTGGGGATGGGGACAGAGGGGCAGCCTAGTCCCAGCTCCACGGCTTGTGGGGGGAGCCAAAGGGTGGCTGGCAGGGAGGGTCCTCCCTGTGAGCTCTCTCCTGAGCTCTGGCGCCTGGTGCCGCTTGGAGGATCTGAGGAAGACCACACCATGGCGGCGAGCGCTGGCCGCGCGCTCACTGAAGGAATGTGGCAGTTCCCATGCTCTTCACAGAAGGCAGCCGAGGGGCCAACCTGCCCAAGTCACCCACCTAGTAAGGCCGCGCGCTCCTCAGGACCTTGTCCACTCCCTGTGCCCGCTTGAGCCCTCGGCGGCCACCAGAGGGCGCCTGCGTCCGGAGAGGCCACCTGGCTGGGGTGGAGGGAGGGGGACCAGCTGCTGCGTCCAGCCCAGAAGCTGCGTCCCCTCCCTCACGGTGCCAGAATCTTTTAAATAAAAATGTAAGCCGCACATTTACTGGACCATGTCCCTGCCCTTTGTACCCGAGTACCAGCTCAGGGTGCACTGAGGGCAGTGTGAGAAGGTCAGTAGGGCAGCAGGAGCCGGGCACCCTTGGAAACTTGGAGAGGCTGAACAGAGGACTGCCCAGCTATAACGGCAGGGTGTGCGACGTTCAGCTGTGGCAGGATTTTAGGGAGGAGGAGGAAGAGGAGCAGCGTGGGCAGTGTGGGCAACGGCACAGAGGTGTGTCTAGGGGGCCAGGACTGGTGGACAGGGAGTTCAGGCCCCAGAGGGAGGTGGACCTCTGGTCCCTTGGGGCCTGGGGGTAGGAAGCCAAGCACCAGAGCCACCACTGGGGTGGAGAGTCCTGGCAGTGAGGAAGCTGGGAGTCAGGAGGGTAGAGCTGACCCTGGTTCTCATCGTCCTGACGTCACCTGACCACTGAGTCTCTGAGCCCACCCTTCCCAGGCCCCAGAGTCCTGCTCTCTCCTGTGGGTGGCCTTGGGAGCCACATACCCTAGTCATCCAGATGGGGGCACCTGGCTGAGGCTTCCTGAGTTCACGGCTCATGTCGGGCTCACTTGCAGCTGGGGCTGGGCTCCCAGGGCACAAGCCCTGTGGTGGACAGCTTCGCAGTTCTGGGTGCCTGCCCCATCTTCCCAGGCTCTGGGGCTCCTGCAGGTATCACGCAGCCACTGTGGCAGCGAGCTGCTCCAGGAGCTGGCTGAGGTGGGATGGCAGGGTGGGGTCTACGTCCTTGTCATGGTTTCTTTGGCCACAGTCACAGGGCACTCTGGGTGGTGGGACGTGTTCTTGTTATCCTGGGCCTGGCTGACCAGGGTCTCTTGACAGAGGCACAGAGCTTTGGCCTGCTGGATCCTAAACTCTGCTACTTGCTGGATGGAATCCTCTTTATCTACGGTGTCATCGTCACTGCCCTGTTTCTGAGAGCAAAGGTGGGTACCCAGGGCTCTGGAGAGGGTGCAGAGAGGCCTTGGTCTTAGTTTCAGGCTTGGTGGTACCTGGGGCTTGGTTCCCACAGCAGAGCAAGGCCAGACCCAAGTGCATACTTGGGGCTGAGTCTGATGGGGTGGGGGAGCTGGTGCTGCACCAGTGCCTGAATGGCAGCGTCCCCTGCAGGGGCCACTGCTGGAGAGCAAGGGGCTTCTGCACAGGTGTCGCGGTCAGGAGGTGGAGGACCCACAGCCTCTTCCCAAGTCCTGCTGCCAGCTGCCAACTGAGGCCATGTCAGCTTCTCTAGAAACCTCAGTTGGCTCAGAGCCCTGATTTCACCATGGGCTGGTGAATTTCTTAGAGACCCCAAATTTCTTAGAGGAGCTGGACCTGGTGTGGACAGAGGGTGGAGTTACTGTCTGTCATCACTCCAGTGCCCTCTAACCCATTTCCCCCTTGGAATTTGTGCTCTGACTCTTCTTCTACTATTTTTTCTTTTTTTTTTTTTTTAAATTTGGAAAGGGGCCCTGGCTGATCTCCAAGTTTCTTTCCAGTGCCCTGACTCTAATGCCTCGAAGTTCCTCCACTGAGGTGGCCTGGACTGGAGAAAGAGCCAAGTTGTGCTAAACTTGGGGCAGATGCTCCAAGTGTTGGAGCCCAAGGCTGAGGCTTCCTGCTCAGGTGCTGCAGGGCTAAGGTAGAGGGCTAGGGTAGGGGAAGGACAAAAGCCCTGGCCCAGGGGGCGAGAAGGAACTTGTGCAGTCACAACCACTGTGATCGTTCCGAGTCCCTGGAATGCCCACCCTGCACCTCTGTGGGCAAGGGCGACTGGCTGGGAGAGGAAACCCCAGATTCCGGGACAAAGTCACAGGCAGGCGCAGAAAGGGCAGCTGAGCTCGGGAGAGGGCTGCTGCCTCAGACCCCTGCAGGCAGCACAGGCAGGGCAGGGCCACCGTGAGGCCCTAACCCGCTGCTCTGTTGCAGTTTGGCAGGAGTGCAGACGTCGCCGCCTTGCAGCAGGGCTCAAACCAGCTCTACAATGTAAGTCCACTGGTCTACCTGTCTGTCTGTCACCTGCAGGCAAGTAGTTTGCCGTTTTCTGACCCATGAGACATGGCAGGGGTGCCGTGAGCATGTGATGCACGGTGTAGCCAAAGACGTAGCCAGCCTCCAGGGAGCCGCTCGGCCTTCAGCAATTCGCAAAGGCTAGAGGCTGCAGAGAATCCTCCCAGCAGAGGATGACAATCACATGTCCCTTTCAGTGGGACTTTGGTCCAACTGATGACCCTCTAGCAGCCTGGGCTTCCTTATCTGCTCATGGGAATGTTGTGACTTGTCCCATCTGATTGACCAGCATGTAGTAAGAAAAGCATCTGGTGACTCTGGGTCCCTCCCACGGTCACGGTAACCACTGTGCTCTGAGAGGTTCTCTCAGGTGACGGTATCCAGATGAACCAGGTCCCCCCACCTCCCTCACTCTGCTCCCTGTTCCCTTTCTTTGTGAACCACCACCAAGAAGCCAAGCAGGCTCCCCCGTCCCGCTGCCCCCCCCCTTCCTCTTCCCCAGGTCTGACACCTTTTTATTTTAGGAGCTCAATCTAGGACGAAGAGAGGACTATGATGTCTTGGATAAGCATCGGGGCCGGGACCCCGAGATGGGAGGGAAGCAGGTAGGGAGCACCTCTGTGCCTGTGTGGAGGGGGGCTTGTGGGTGGGTCCCCTGCACCAGCACACATGGGGCTGGCTGGCTGCCAGCTCTCGACCCCTCCTTGGCTCCTTTCTGCATTACAAGGGGCCTGAGCTCAGGAATACTTGTGGGCCTTGTGTCCAAGCGCCAGCTGCTGTCCTGGGAACTGCTCCTTGGCCACCACCTGCCCCCAGGAGGACAGACCTGACGAGAAGGTCCACACAGAAAAGGCTACGACCACTTAGCGAGGATTGTGGGTCTGAGTACCCTCCAGAGCCTCCTCAGAGCCAGGCTTCGGTGGCTTTGCCAACTCCACCCCTGGTGGCAAGCGGGACAGACAAGGCCAGAGCAGAGATCTCTCAGGAGCAGGGCTTCCAACAGAGGCAGAAACTGCCCTGTGGCCCTTGATGTGTTGGGTCACACCTGCCATCAGCCCTTCCCTAGCCCCTCCGAGCCCTGGGCTGGGTGTGCACTGCTAGAAGGAATGGGTAATAGGAGAGGCCACCCATTTCCTTGAACACTCCCATCCTCTTTCCTCCTCTTCCCTGGACTAGGAGGTCTGTGGGAAGGGGGAAAGGAGGGGCTGTTCTCTGCATGAAGAGAGGACCTGCAAACAGGGGGTGGCCTCCAATATTTCTGTCCTTAGCCACAGACTCACTTGTAAGCCTTCTTTATTTTTGGTACTGGGTTTTGAACCCAGGGATGCTTTACGACTGAGCGACAGCCCCAGTCCTTTTTACTTTTTGAGATGAGGCTTCACTGAGTGGCTGAGGCTAGCCTTGGACTTGCAATCCTCCCGCCTCAGCCTCCTGAGTTGTTGGGACTAGAGTGCACCACCACCACACTGGGCACATAGAATGCTTTAGACACACATGAACTACTCTGGAGGTCAAACAGACTGTCAGCAGACACCCTGAGGCCACCCTGGGCAAGACAGGAGAAGTGTGTCTCTAAGTGCTGGCAACCGGGCTTGAGCCGCCTGGTGCAGCAGGGGCCTGAAGGTGGCCTCCCTGGGCTGTGGCGGGCAGGGAGGAGGGAGGCGGGTGGCAGATCTCGCAGGTGAAGTAGGTGGGGGCAGGGTGGGCTGTGACTCGCTGGTGGCCTGAGCCTCCCCTCCTGATGTTCCCTCATTTCTTTCCTAGCAGAGGAGGAAGAATCCTCAGGACGGCGTATACAACGTGAGTAGGGAGGACTTCACGTCAGGGCAGGGGGAGGGCTGAGGGGCTCTCCTCCACAGGTGTCCCTCCCTGGGTCATGCACCTGGTTTCTGCTTGCAGCCTGCAGTGCCTCTACTTGTCCCCTGCCCGTGCCTTGGCTCTGTTGGCCTGGAGCCCGCTGCTGGAGTTCCCAGGTCCACCGGCCTGTGGGGAGGAAGGCCACCGGCAGGCCAGGCTGGGTGGGAGCCCCTCCTGGGCTGCGGCTCCTGGGGGCTGGCATTTTCCCGAGGCCTTTTTTTTCTGTACTGAAGCTCACACCTCCCCATGCTGGGCAAGCACTGACCACTGGACTCCACCCCAGCCTTTTTGAGACTAGTCTTTGAACTGGCAATCCTGCTCAGCCTCCCCGAGTTGCTGGGACTACAAGTGTGCGGAGTGCTGCTTTTTATTGAAATATCCACTCCACCACCCTCGGAGCTTCCTGTCCTTGCTCTGCAGAAAGCCGATCCACAGCCCGTGTCATTGGCTGCGTAGAGACAACTTGCTCAAATAAATGATTAGGGACTTGGGGAGTCCTTTACTGTGCGGTGTACAACTCCACCACGCAAAGAGCTACAGCTCCCAGCACATCCCCAGAGGCCGAGGAGCAGGTGGTGGGTGGAGAGCCGCTGGCTGCCTGAGGCCGGGGCAGGACGGTGCGACCCTGTCCCTGGGGAACCCGGAGGCTTTCTGGCGGCAGAGCCCGCTCGCTCCTGCAGTACATCAGTGCCTCCTGCCTTCTCCTCCAGGCACTGCAGAGAGAGAAGATGGCGGAGGCCTACAGTGAGATTGGGGCGAAAGGAGAGGTGAGTGTGCTGCTGCACTCCCGAGGGGTTCCTCAGCGCCCTCCAGGATGCCTGCCACAGGATGCCTCTCCCACCTGTTCCTCCTGAGACTCACAGAAGCCCATGTGGTTGCCCTCAGGGGCAATGTGACTCCAGGGCTTCCCAGGAGGACACTACATGAGGCAGAAGCAAGTCAAAGCCTCACTCCTAACAGGAAGCGCTGAGGGCCCCAGGTGTGCCCAAACGGTCACTGACTGGGACCGGGGTCTCAGGGCAGGATGGAAGCACAGGGGCCTTTGTTCATAAGTGATCAAGGATTTCAAAATGGAGAGAGAGCCTGACGAGTCCCTGTGACAGGCGCTGTGTGTCCATGATGCCCACGTGGCCAGCACCTCGCGCTGGGGGCTCCACGAAGTCCCCACAGACCTGGTGAGGCTTGTGTGTGTGCCCGAGGCACGAGAAGGTAAATGGCTCACCCCAGGTCACGCAGTAAACAGGGAGTGGGGTTTTCCACGACTCCCCCGGAGCTCATGACCACTGTGCAGAGCCACTCCTGGTGAGCAGACAGCAGGGGAGATTTTCCAGAGCTGCAGGGGGCCATTTCCAAGCTGTGGGCAACAGGGCAGCCCCTGCGAGGGTCTGAGTGGGGCCTGACCTTACTCTGCAGGGCCCCTTCTCCCTGGGGCGGAGGGCGGGGTAGGTGTGAGCTTGGACAGTCACCTGACTTCCCAGAGGTGGGGCCTGAGCAAGAGCCCATGCTGACTTCACACACCCCTTCTCTCTCCACAGCGTCGGAGAGGCAAGGCGCAAGACGGCCTCTACCAGGTGAGAGCCCAGCCTCCTTCCTGGGGCTCCAGGCTAGTGGCACCTGTTCTCGCCAACAGCAGGGCAGGCGCTCAGGGGCTCCTGCAGGCCAGCGGCAACCCCACTGCCCTAAGCTCCTGCGCAGGGCCGGGACCTAGACACTCCACCAGATTATGTGGCTCTAGCCAGGAAGCTGTGGGCACCCCATGCACAAGGCCACAGCAGACAGGAGGCCGCTGTCCAGAGGGTATGGGGCTCCCCAAAGGAACAGACAGCTGTGGGCACAGGCTCCTACACAAGTGACCCCTGACTGTCCACATCTGTGGCTGGGTCCTGGCAGAGGCCTTCTCTGCCTCCAGTTGGCCTTGGTCAGGGAGGATGGGCAGGAAGGTTGAAGAAAAGGAAGAGAAAGGGCAACTTCAAAAGGAAGACTGTTATTACAATGAGGTGCCTGGTTCATGCAAATCAGTGCAGATGATCATGCAAACTGAGCATATTCAATCTACTTCTCTACCAGGGTCCCCAGGGGTCCAGTTTCTCCAGGCTTCCTGGTGCGGGCTTGCCACAGGACAGTGATATCAAAAGTGGCCTTGCTTGGCCTTGGGAAAAGGGAGGGGCCTTCCACCAGAGTGGGGTGGGGGCACCTTGAGTGTCAATTACTACATGACTGGCAAACTCACTGTAGGGACAGGGTCTGGGAACAGTAGCCAGCCCCTCTCTCCCTAGGACTAGTCCTCAGGTATCAGAGCAGCAGATTCTCTGGAGCAAGCCTGGCCCCTTTCCTGAGACTGCAGCTCAGTATTTGAGGTGGGGGAACTTCTTCCTCTTGATGACAGGAAGGGAGCCTGGTCCAGGCACCGGGGATACAGCTTGGGGAGAGGTGAGCACCCAGCTGGAGGGGAGCCTTCTCTCCAGCAGCTCCTCCAGCCAGGGGCCCACCTATGGCTCCTGGAGGCGGGGGCAGGGCATGGGGAGGTGGCTACGGGTTCTGACCACTCTTCCCATTTGCTTTCACCAGGGCCTCAGTCCAGCCACCCAGGACACCTACAATGTTCTCCACATGCAGGCCCTGCCCCCTCGCTAACAGTGTGGGTCTCACCAGCCTCAGGCCTGACCTGCTGATGCCAACTGTAAGACAGGATGAGCTCTTTACCACCGCCTTCCCTCATACTTCTCAGCCACTGAAGTACTCCCCTCCACAAACAGGATGCTTCCCAGTTGTGACATTTGCTGATCTCCAATTCCAAGCCCTGGCGCGATGAACATGTCCCTGGGCTCCAAGGGAGTGCAGCCCACAGTCATGGGCAAGGCCCTGCCCTTAGGACTTCAGACTTGCTGGTGCCTGGAGAGCAGCCCTCTCCCTTGGCTCCATGTCTTAACCTGGGGTTGGGGACAATTCCCTCACAGCTGGGTTAGGTCTGCCTTGTGAAGTCCAGGGCAGGCCCCGTGTCAGCACATGTCCTGTCTGTACTGCTGTCAGGAATCTGAGTGGCTTCGCTCCTGCTGTCAACCCCCCCCCCCCCACTTCAAGGTAACCTGTGCTTGGGCCACTCTGTGGAGGGCTGGGCAGAAGGGCCAGCAGGGCAGTCCTCCATCAGACATGCCTCTGCATCACCAAGTCACATGCCAGGCACTGTGGGGGGTGGAAAAACGTGCAAGGCTGTCCTTGTCCTCACAGGTTCACATCTTAGAGGGAAAATGAGTCGTGCACAATCTGGTTTAAAAAATGGGAAATGGAGTGTGAACACAGAGTGTCACTAAGATTGTGAACAAAGCGTGGAAGTGAGTAGGGAGGAGTCCTTCCTGCCCTGCTCCAGGCACCGTCCCTCAGCCTCCCGGGAATGGCAAGCCCGTCCTGGGGACTAAAGGACTCGTGGCCGTGGGTGGCAAACCCTCTTTGCTCTGCTTGGTTTTAACTTATACTGGCTCGCTAAAGCCCATTTCGTATAATAAATGCTTCAGTGAAACCGGTGCTGTCCCCTAAGCTCTGTTCAGCAGTCAATCTGTGATGGCGATGCAGTCGGTAACTGGGAAAGCAGTGTCACCCTTGCTCCGGGGGAACTGCCTATTCTGCCAGGAACATGCAGGTGGACATAGGTGCACCAGCCCAGAGTGCTGCCATGGGGTCAGTGCGGGCCAAGCAAGGCACCTCAGGTAGTGGCCGAATCCACTCCTGAGAGAGCAGTACCCAGTATAGGAGTGTTGGCCCAGTCTTGTGCCCCAGCCCAGAGAAGGTAACGGGCAAGGAGCCCTGCATCACCATGCCCAGCTCTGGAGGGCAGGAGACCCCCCCCCCGCCCCCGGAGGCCAGAAGTGGGTGATGCTGTGGGCAGAGGGTGCCCGGGAGTCAATAGTAGCACATGCCACTGCACTGAATGTCTCAGCCCACAGGGCTGCAGGTGGGTGGTGGGCAAGAGGTCCTCAGGTCAGTTTCCCTCTGGAAGGTGGCCCTGCCCATAGCGGTGGCTCTCTGTGAAGCCCCAACTCGTCGAGCCCACCTGTTAAACTTTGTGAGGTCACTCTGAGCCTTGGCTTGGTCAAGAAGTCCAAAGCCACCTACCCCCACAGCACTCTGTATGCTGCCAGGCACAGGGGACAGCCCAGAGAGAGGAGAACGTCCATCTGGGAGCAGCCTCGCAGGGGAACCCACTCCTGAGCCTCGAGCGCTGAAGTCTGCCGCTTCTGTCTGTTGAAATGTGCGAGCCGTACCCAGGGCTGCGCTAACCTAGCCTCACTTCAGGAGGAGCAGAGCTACACACAGGCTGCGGGACCTGCACTGACCCAGTTCTGTCAGACATGTCTGAGATGGCGGGTGGGAACCAGCAGTGCGCTGGGGGGCTGGCCGGCTCCCAACAGCACAACTGCACAGAGCGCGGCTGGGAGAGGAGCAGACTGCCTACAGAGGAGAGTGGAGAGGGCAGAGCTCCTGGGAGAATGAGGCCCTGCAGGCAGGGCGAGCGTGGCTGCCCCTGCCCTTCCTGAGGCCCAGCAGGCCATGACTGTCAAGACCCTGTCCTGTTCCTCGTGCTGGCACAGACACACCTCCCAGTCCAGGAAACAAGGAGCTGGACCTGCATGAGGAGTCCAGAGTTTGTCAACTGGGGCAGCAGCGCAGAGGACACCTGCAGGGGCTGGCCATGCTGGTGTCTGGCCAGCTGTGGTGTGTGGGCTTCCTTCCGCCAGCGGCCCCGGGGGTCTTGGTGAGCTGCAGTCACTTCTGTGAGTCAGAGTCGAGTCCTGACCATGTCTGTGCCTCAGTGACAGCCCCTCGCACTGCTGCTCATGCCCTCTCCAGGAGCCGTCAGAACAGACCTACCTTACGAGACGGGACGCAGGCTCAGGTCCATCCCTTCACTCTATTCCGTAGGATGTGACACCAGGTTTTCACGTGCTGAAGTCTGCCTTATGTTGTCTTTACCAAGGAGAGAGTTTCTGTGAAGAACTTGAGATTATTTTAGGAAGACACTTTACAAACTCGTATACAAGCTGTAAGTGCGAGAAGGGAACCCAGTGCCTCCTCGCTTTGGACCTTCTGTAGGACAGTGGCCTCATCTTGAGATAGGCACTCTCTTCTGCAAACTCACAAACCCAAGACGTCGACCTGGGGGATCTGACTCCACAGCTTTCTGACAAGGTCAGGCTTTCTCTGGAGAATTCACCTTAGTTTCAACTTTCCTTCCTATGGAACCCTGCAGTGGCCCATGAAGACACAGTGCTGAGGGGCACAGTGAGCCAGAGGCAGCCGTGTGCGCTCCCTCACACAGGAGACCAGCCTCCCTCACAGGACTCCGGGGAGTCCAGATGCTCAGGGTCTGGCAAGATGTGCCCGACGGGCATGCCAGCCAAAAATACATACAGGGAAGTGGAGTTCAATCCAAGTTCTGCAGTCCCAACTGCACAGCAGGACGGGAGCTTTGAAGAGTCCCCTGTCAGGATCATCAAGCAAGAGCCTGCATGTTTGATGACACAAAGCACTTGTGCTCAACACAGGGTCCCTTCTAGACCACCCTGAGGGCCTGGGGAGGAGAACTCAGTGCCAGCTCCCCGAGGGTAGGAGCCAAGCCAGTGTGAGTGGATGGAGACTCGGCTCCCGAGAGCACCTGCTGTGAAATGAAGGCTGGAAGGGTTATAGGAGTCATCTGTGGGAAGGTGGGTGAAGGATCCAGAATGCCAACACAGCAACCTCACAGAAACCATGTGAAAACACTTGAAAAATGGTTTAATGATGTTTTACAACAGAAATGAACTGTACAGTTACAGTAAGTTTAATATATATATATAAAAATTACAGCAGACAAATGCATCTACACAAAATCTACCAATTCATTCTGATTCACTGGCACCTGTGCAGTCTCTCCCAAGCCTTCAGCCCTGCGGGCAGCAGGAGGGGGTCACATAAAGGGCACTTTTGAAGAGACAGCACCTCTCACAGTCCCCACCACCTCCGCAGGCTTGGGAGGCTTCGGCTAGCTAGTTCCCCAGCAGGTAAAGTCGCTTTGTTTGAGGTTTCCAAAACCAGGAAACCTCTGTTTCCCAGGGGCACAGATAACAAGGTCCAGTGCTCCAGTCATCAGCTGATTCTTAGGAAATATTTCTACCCGAGGGGAAACGGCTACACAGGTGCTCTGGGGCAGTGAGGCTATACAATAGCCACCCAGACTGCAAAGTCGCCTAAGGAGAAATGTAAAAGGACTCCCGGTAAACTACTTAGGAATTGTCACTGCCTCATTAAAGCTGCTGGACAATTTTGGAAAGAATCATTTACACCACGTCTTAAGTTTCCACAAAGAAGAACTCAAACTCACATTTTAAAGTACATAAAACAAGAAGTTTTAGGAGGTCAGGGGACAATTCCCCTTGTACCCCTCCCTTGACAACAGTGGAAAAACACCCCTGAATCAGTAATTTTAAAAAGAACAAGAAAGAAAAGGAAGAAAAGGTGGGGGAGTTAAGATATTTGAAGACAGAAAAAGAAAGCATCTTTAGAAAAACACAATCACTGCTTCTTTAAAACAAAACAAAACCCAGTTGGGCACAGTCATCAGTGACGATATGATCCAGGTGACACTTGGTGGAGGACTATTACTGAATATTATGTACACTCACAACTTTTTCATTTTCTTTTTTATTATGAACACCTAGGCAGTGAAAACTGTTATGTTAATACATACACAGACACACTGAAAACATACAAAAATACTATTATTTCAAACTACTAAGAAGAGGACAGTTCAATTAGTTCCATGCTATGACTTTAAGAGCATTACACTGAAACAAACAAGAAGTTAAACGACATTTTTTTTTTTTTAAATCCCAGAAATATACCAAAATATACATCTAAGCTTTGGAATTACTGAGGTTAGACTAATGCAAGTGCTGGGTAATCGTACTTAATACACAAGTCTAAGGTTCTGCAGGAAAGAAATTTTCTTTGGTATCTGCATCAGGCTAATATTATTAACATTTGGATTTTGCTTTGGGATAGAGCTTGTATGACCCTAGAACCAAATACCCCCCTCCCCCAATCAACTGAGATTAAAAAGATCCATGTAAAAAGTTCCTTCATTTGCAACCCCCCAGGTAAAAAGTCACAGGCATCGACCTAGCGCGAGAGGTTGTGAAGTACAATGCATAGTTGCACAGTGGTGCTGGGAGGGGAGACAAACCGCAATGGAGAGAAGCGAAACGCCCGATGGGCGTCCTGCGGCCTCTGGCCACCCCAAGCAGCTCAGTGAAGCAGAGAGGAAAGCTCCGAGGCCCTGACGAAAGCCCTGCAGAGCGGACCACCCGTGCCAGTGTCCCAACTTCCCCCACTCTGCGGGGCCTGTGGCCTGGCCAGCAGCGGCTCTGGCCCCCTAGTCCCTGTGCTAAGTCCCCTGGTGGCCCTGCTTGCAGTCGGATGGAGTATGGTGTGACGGGGTTTGGGAAATCTGAAATGCCAACTGCTCCCTGGCATGCTCACAAGCTGGCAAGCGCCAAAGCCACCGAGACACACCTGAACGAAACCCCCGGCGTGGAAAACGGCTCCCCGCCCTTTAGAGTCCGAGGCCCCTGCCCGGCCCACTGCGCCAAGCGCCAGGACGTGGCGAACTGGCTGATGCTGAAGACTCAACTTCCCTTTTCTTTGGTTTTTTTGTTTGTTTTGAGTTTATACAATCATTAAGAAATCTTTGGTTTTGGCTGGAAATTTAAAAACAAAACAAAACAAAACAAAGAAACCACCCTCCCCTGGCTTATAGCAGCAGTCTGAGGACCTGGCGAAGGGTTTCTTCAGCTTTACGGGTGGGAACTGGAGGCCAAGCAGTACATTCAAAGAAAAGGTGAAAGGGCTGGGGATGCAGCTTCTGAAGAGCCCACTGAATATAAGATTGTCAAATAATAATAATAATAATATAATAATAATAATAAAAAACAACTTAAATATTTGGATTTTTTTTTTTTGGTCATGTCAAAGGAAAAAAGTGAAATGTGTACACAGCAGTCCACTCCAAGGGACCTCTGGTGTCTTCCCTTCCACCTAGGTCTCAGGGGAAGGAGACGGCCTGGACCCCACCTGGGGAGAGGCAAGGACAGAAGTCAATGTGTGGCCAGAGTCAGACATACGGGGTGGGGCGGGGCGCAGACAGCTGGCACCCTGAAGGCAGGTGGCAGGACAACCAGGTTATGAGACCTGGGTAGACCCTGGCAACAAAAGGAACCCTGGGCTGTGACCCGCCCCAGCTCGAAGTAGCCTCTGAGCAGTGGCATTCAGGGGCTCCTAGGGGCACCCTAGCCACAGGTCCCACAATGCTATAGGCCAGAGTTCAGCGTTGCCGAAAGGGGAGGGTGGGTTGGGCAGCTCTGTGGGGCTGAGAGGAAGTTAAAGCAAGCCACTCAGTCACGAGTTAGCAATGAGGTATACAAGAGCTCCCACGCCAGGTGGGCAGAACTCTGCTCCTCACTCACCTCTGTCACTGCTGTCCCGTGCAGGCGGTGACCTGCAGGGTCAAAACCCTGGTGGACCCTCGCACGTGCCCAGGCTAGCAGAGCCAAGAGCTGGGAGAAGGCTTTTTCTACCACCACCAACCTTGGAAGAGACACACTGGTTGCTGCAGAGTCCGTGCCCTGCATCTGCGCAGCCTATGATCCCTCCCTCTTTCTCTCATTGTTTACAGTCTTAACCACCATCAGGCTGCACTTGTTGACTCTGCTCTTAGAAGTGGGCGCCTTCTGCAGACTCATGTGGGAATGGAACTGGAGGTGGGCACCCCCCACCGCCTGCAATGCAGTGTCCCTAGGTTGCCACCTGAGCCTCTCAAAGTGCTTTCCTGCCTCCCTTGCTCTTAGACTCCAGGATGGCTGGGGCTGGACGGGATCGGGCTCTGCTGTAAGAGATTCCGGTTTCAAGGAACTAAGGTTTCCAGATGTCTTGTTTTAAAACAGTACTGTCCCCAGCTGTCCGCCCGCAGACTTGGGGTACAATGGTGGAGAAGTCAAGAGCTGTTGCCAGTTTACAGAAGCAGCCTCCATCTGTTCTTGTGAGGTTGTGGCCAACTTACATACAACGATCCAGTGAACAAGGAAAACCCTGCAGCAGACCTCAACATTTTTATACTAAATTAGTTTGGGGGTCTTATCTTTTGGCAGCTTCCTGGGTTTGAACCAGAAGCTGACACTGGGCACATGGACAGACTCAGGGACACAGCAACAGTAAGCGCCTTCCTTCCATGCGGTCCTTATGCACACCTTGTCTTCCCACAGCTTTGTTTCAAGTGCTCTTATCTTCAATATCCCTATCACCTACTTAGAAACCTATCTAGCGCTTTTAAAAAAGTCACACATTATTAAGACTACCTTTACATAATGTCAGAACAATAAGGTTATTAGGAAAGCTATTATGAGGTTCTGCACCCTGATCATTTTTGAGGGATGATTAAGAGAGCAACTATTCCTATTCCCTTCCCTCTCCCTTGCACGGGCCCTGTCTGGAGGACACTGAGACAGGACTACTCAACTTCCCAGAACCATATATTTTAAAGACACCTGGGAACAAAACAGCTCTACAGGAGAAGGGAAGAGCTTCTGTTTCCTTTGTAATCCTGCTCTTGAAAATGCTGCTTCATAGGCGAGACAGCACAGACACCACATCTGAATAGTGTCTGAACCCAAACAGGCTCCACAGTTCTATTTATGAGGATTAGATAAAGGGAAATAAAGAATTTACCCCATCTTTTGCCCTCCCCAAATTTCTCAGCAATTCCAAGACTATCACGGCCACACGGAGCAACCCCATCCTCACAGAGCCAGCAGAGGGACACAAAACCAATCTCTTTTTGAAAGGCAGAATAACCAGTAAGACTTTCAAAAAATGGGTAGGAGGGAAGAAGGGGAAGAAGAGACAAGGTCAAACTTTTCTAAATTCCAGCTTTTTGGTCCTATTCTCTCTGCCTGTTTTGAAAACCAAAGATAAGCAATGACACAGCAGTGTCTTTGGTCACAGACCAAACCCCACGTAAGTTCTGTGAGATGGATCACTTATTCAAATAAAAGCCTTTCTGGAGTGCTACATCTGAACTCAGGGAGCCGGGAGCATGGGCAGAAAGGGCTCCCAATTCTCCTGACCACCACTGTTTCTCCTCTACGCCCCCACTCGGAACAGAACTCCCTCCATCCCATCAACCAACCGGTCCTTAAAGGCCGCACTTTGTCACAGGTGTGAGGAGCAGGCTGGTGGTCTTTCTTTTGTTTGTGTTTCTGGTCTAGACAGAACTATTCTTTGAGAAAAGGAAGTGAGGTTTTAAATGTTGGGCTGCTAGCACAACATTCAACAGCTTGACAGAGGCTGCCACGAAGAACCACCTTAACTGTCCTAGGTCAGGGCCACTGCTCAGTGCTCTCTGAGTTGGTGTGCATCTTCCTCTGTCTCTACTTCTCCCCAAACACTCCGATGGCTACACTTGTCCTTTGCCTAAGTGTCTGCTATGTACAGAGGTAATGGTCATTTGGAGAGGCTGGCATGTTTGGGGGCATGGCAGCCATAGAAAAGCTGCAAATGCTCCCGTGGCAACTCGCACACACCTCTGGGCCCTGCCCTGCCCTGCACACCAGACCTCAGAGGGCTGTAAATCCCAAGTCCAGTCCCAGGGACACCAGGCTTCCTTCGGCAGGACAGACTTAAGGAAACACACACAACAACATTTTCCTTCTAACATAATCATCTTCTCCCCCACCCCAACCCTCCCTAACCCTGTAAATTGTAACCTATAAACAGGATCCCAAATACATACAGCATCAATCATGTTTATCAATGATAATGAACATTAGTTCAACTAAGTACTACAGCTAGAATTATTTCCACTATTTATAAAGTTTTTTATTTTATTTATTTGGTTTTTAGTTTAAACCAATTCTGCAACACGTAAGCTATGCTGAGGTATTTTATGAAGGTGCCAGAAGCCAGCGGTTACCCACAAGCATCAATCATCCTCACAGACTAAGGAACCACATTCACAGAGAAGGAGGGAGGGGAGGGAAGGAGACCCAGATGAGACAGCCACCTCAGAGACCCACAAAGGCCAGGGCAGACGAGTCCAATAAGTAACTGTGCCTCAAGAATAGGGAGGGCCATGGAAAGCGACAGCCGTTAGCCCAGAGAACCGGATGCAAACTGGACAACTCAAGAAACGTGTACCCCGCCCTCCTGGTAGGACCCTTTCAAGTCCTGCTGCAAATTTCAAGGCTGTCCTGTTGAATCTCTCTGGAGTAAGAAAAGGTCGGGCAGAACCGGCAAAGAACTCCAGTCAGCTGTCAGGGATGACCCTGCTGCCTTCCGTCCCCCACTGTGTGCATATTGCAGGTGCCACCCAGCCTGCACACAGCTCATCTCAGTTATTTTCAGAGGAACGCCAAGGGACTTTTTTCCCCCCTTCTCAAAACTAAAGATAAAAACCAAAAATATTTACCACTTTATAAAGTATCATCTTTAAAATGTCAGAAACTGAAAATGACTTCAGAATGGCCAGGGCTATGATTACACAAGCAGTATGACGCACTAAGTGCTTCGTACACACAGACACACGCGCACACACAGACACAGACACACAGTGAACTCACAGTGGTCACAAGCAAATTCATCCACCAATTCCTGTTCCTTCTGGGTAATTTAAAATTTCAGACCTTTTAGTCTTTTTCTCCCATCAGTACTGGCAGCCTAAAGAGTAAAGAATAAATAAACTCTAAATTCTTCAAGTTTAAATGCTGATTTAATGAGAAAGTATTTGGCCAAACTCTCCTAATGAACTGTTGCAGCCCTTCCTTGACCAAGGGTTTTCAGACCACAGGCTGGCTTTTGGGGGTTCCTTATGGCCAGGCCACGGAAGGCTGCCCACAGGAGGGCCCTCACTTCTTCATACCTGGGTAGCATTTTTTTGGGGGGGGGACTAAAGAAAGAGGCTTCTCCTCTGCTTCCTAGCTCAAGGGTCTTCTTTCTTTCTTCGTTAAGAAAGACTGTGAGGATGATGTAGCTTGGGAACCACTTCAGACCATGAACTCTCAGAGGGCTTCTCTGTGAACCAAGTACTTATTATCCTGATTGCAACATTTCAACCGGGATTTCTAACTAACAGTAATTACCTACATTTGCAAATATATTCGGTTTTTCCAGCACGTTAAATAGAATTTAAAGATTGGGCTAGATGTTGTATCAAGCAAATATTTGTGCTTCTGGATAATACACAGACTATTTCCCCATCTTCCTAAATAAATGAAAAATGATGGACAATATAACATTAAAAAGAGGCATAATTGTGCTTTTTCTTTCCCAACAAACGCTATAGAATGAATCGGCAAGATGAACAAAAATCTTTTTAATCGATATTTTCCCTTTTGCTAAAAAAAGTTCACTTCTAATAATGCTACCACGAAGTACAAATAGGCATGCTCCTGCATAAGAGGGAAGTTGGATTCCTTTGGTTCCATTCTTAAGCAACCAGCTGAGTATGTTGGGAAGGTACTGACCTTTCTGACAATAAATAAATGGGAGTGTGATTTACATCAGCCAAGTGATATAAATATTTTTTTTCTTAATTCTAAAAAGCTGCCTATTTTTTTGAACTTCAGAAATAGCACTCAACTTATGTCTTAGAACAATCATATTGTTCCTGTGAGAGGCCCCCTTCAGGTCTTTCTGCTCTGTCCTTCAGATTTACATGGGATATAAATAAAGTTCATGACCAAATTGCATTGCTCGTGATAAGCAGGATTTAAACAACTACATTCACCACCCCTAGGGATGCACGGGCAAATAAAGTATTGTTATAAATGCATTTAAAATTAGTCTTTGGCTTAATGTGTTAAGCAAATTCAGGGATGAAATAAAACTTGTCTAAACGTTAAGGGGAAAAAAGAAGAACAATGCAATGCATTGTAATGATCTACTGTTCCTCCTCTCTGAGATGCAGAAACTCTACCAAATACTTCTTTTTGGTCAAATGGACCTTTTAGTTTGAAGACTGTTCCCAGAAAAGGTGGCCAAAAGTTAAGTCTGAGTACCGCACCTTAGGAGATAGTTCATTCAATTCAAAGAGCATCATTTGAGATGATAAAAAAAAAAAAGGAATGATATAAAATAAACAAGGACTACGGTGATCCATGAAGCAGTATGATCAGCAGAGTTTCCAGGGATGATGATGGGGAGCTGATTCTAAACAAGACCCCCACCAACAGCTCTATTAGTGTTTCATGTGTATATGCATAAAAGTACCTTTCATTTCACAACTTATTTTTAAATAAGTGAAAAAAAGAAAAAAGTTTTAAAGTTACCTTTGTCTAAAGATTTACTTTTTTCAACAGAAGTTTTTATGCTGGCTTAAGGTCTACCCTCATCAAGTGATTCACATTAAAAAAAAAGAAAAAGACAGAATTCCCATATTCCAAAGTGATTAGAATATAGATAGGGTAGGGGACTCAAAGATCACTGTGCTGACAGTTAGGGCTTAGCATCTTCTTCGGGACTGGAGTTTGTTGGTGAAGCTTATTTGGGAAAGGGATCATTTTTTTTAGCTACACAGAAAACAATAACAAAAACAGCCTTTCTCTGAACTCACTGGGCATAGCCAGAGTCCCCTGAAGCTCTATGCTTCCTTTGGTAACATTTGGGAAACTGATTTACAGCCTCGGATCCAGTATGGTGGCTATCTGCATTTCTCTTCCGGAATCCTTCCTCCTAACTTCCACCACTCCCAAAAGAGGGACTTGTGACTATGGGCAGCCACAGTATTATTAATAGCCCTAAAATCATTTACGCAGACTGAAATTAGAGATGTCAAGTCAGAATAAGAGATTATATTACATTTAACTACAACAGAGAAAAAGTTGATGGAGTGGAGAGAAATTAGTAACTAACAGAGCCATTCTATTTACATACCAACCTAAATAAACTATTTAAAAATCAAGGTAAGTCTGCCCAGAGGATATTACAATTAACCAACATAGAAGATTAAAAACAAGCAGCAACTTTTATATAAAATTAAAAAAGAAATGAAAAAGAAATTGTCAGTAGCATCTATCTCCTCCATGTGTCTGAACTGCACGATATAAACTAGTCCATTAGTACAGCAGCTTGCTAAAAAATTGACTTTGGTTCAAGCTTAGTTTAAACAAAACAAAACAAAACAAAACAAAACAAAACCACACACCACACACAGAAAGGTGGATAGACATTTGTTAGTTTCCCTGCTTGTAGTTCACTGATTTTAGAGGGATTTTAGGGAAAATGACAGGTAAAAGGAAATTTAGGGGTAGTAGTTAAATATTTTGTGAAATAAAACAAGAGGAACTAAAGAATTAAAAGGGGACTAATATGTTTCTGACCTTTAATATTAATTTGACTGTCTCCCCACTTGAATCTCTCTCTCTCTCTCTCTCTCTCTCACACACACACACACACACACACACACACACACACGTACACATTTGTGTCAGTATTACTGCCTTCCCGAACAATGGTGAGGAGAGGCAAATACATGAATCCCAGCTCCCTTGAGGACACAAGCAGAGCAATTGATTGGAAGGAAAGCTCTTTCTCAACCCCCAGCTCAAAGAGGGACAAAGTGCAGTCTTAGGACCACCCGAGACTGAAGCAAGTGCCCAGGGACACCAAATGGGAACCTCTACCTCCAAAAAGAAGGGAAATTTAGATCAAGCTACAAGGCGGGAAGGCAGTCTTTGGGGGAAAGTTTTTGGTACACAGAGTATTACAAAAGTACATTGGCAAAAATGGAAACTGAACCTCTGTATTGCCCTTGTTCCTCTTGATCCATGTTCACAATCTCCTCCCTTCCACTGGCTCATTTATGTGGTCTAGAAACACCCTGAAAACAATTACAGAGCTGATCTCTTTCTCTAAGAATAGAGAGATGTGCACTACTGTTGGACTTCCTGGCAGGGGCAGCCCCCCAGGGGTGCACCACGTTCCTGCTCAGTGTTTCTTCAGAGGTTCTGCAGAACCCAAGCCCCACCAGCAAGTACCTTGTCAGTCAGAGAATCCAGAGAGTTCAGGTTAGGCCTCATGAGCCATCCAGTGGAAAGGAAGTCTGCGGTGCTCTAGAGGAAAAGGTGGCGACCTCAGACTCCTCTCAGGGACTCTTTTAGATATATCAATTGATGGACAACAGTCTAATAGAAGTCCTTTAGAAAATAAAAAAGGGAAAATTCCCTGACACCAGTAAGTCAATTTGTTCTTTGCCAACAAAATTAAAAGAAGTTTGGATGAGAAACTCCCATAAAATGAACAAACAAACAAACACACCAACAGTAGGAGCATTTTTCAGGAGATAAGAAATCAGGCGAACCACCAAGTCAGGTGTCTGCAGTAGTCTTTGCTCTTTGGAACCAAATCCTGCCTGCAACACATAGAGCTGTTCCCATTGAGAGTAGCGGAAGCAGCTGCTGCACTACAGGATCTGGGCCTCGGGGGCGGTCCATGATTGGGTGAGTGAGAGCTACAGTTCAGCAGGAATTCCTTCCTACACAAAAGTGCTCCAAAGGCACGCCTGCTGGGGGAGGGGCGTGTTGGGCGGGAGTGTCTGCACACACTGCCTTCAGCTTTTGCACCAGCCTCTTGCATAAGTGGCAAAAGAAAATCATTTTCTAGCACCTCTGTAAGAGTCGTGGAGGATAAGGAAACCAGCAAGAACATTCCCCGCAGTTAAGAGCATACGCCTCCCTTGCCCCAAACCCTCCCTCCCCACAGTGTGGGAGCTCACTGAAACAGGATCCAGGAGCAAGAGACAAACATGTCCAAACTATATATATATATATATATATATATATGTGCATATATATATATATATGTATATATATAAAAACAACAACAATAACCATAGAGATACAGTAATACAGGCCTGCCTAAATTGTACCAGTTAAGAAAGGAACCCCCAACGCAATTGATACGATTATAAACACCTTGTTATGACTTAATGGCCTGTACAACAGACCCATAAAAATGATTTTTTTTTTTTAAAGAAAAAAGAAATCTAGACAAATCAGAAATCCCTTCCTACACTGGAACTGGTACCCACCTTAGCTTGTCATCACGACTGCTGGAGATGATAAGTAGTCCTTCCACTTGTTTTTTTTTTGTTTTTGATTTTTTTGTTTTTTAAATTTTTGGTTAGAAAGTTCTCCAATCCATGAAGCAATCCTGAAAAGACAGTGTTTTATTATAAAATTAGGCAGATGCTGTCCGTCTCCATCCTCTGCTTTCTTCTGGCATGTGGACTCCCTTTCCCCTGCCTCCCCCCTCACCGGTGGTGAGGGCAGCGGCTGGGGGGCTGGCAGCCTGGCCACGCTGCAGAGAGGTGGAGGCCCTGGCGGCACCCCCGCACCCGCTCACTGGGCCTTGGAGGCGGTGGTGGTGGTGGAGGCAGCCCCGCTGGCGGAGGCCACTGTGAAGAGCGAGTTCTGCATGGCCTCTGCCGAGCTGGAGGCGGCGTGAAGGCTGGCGACTGGTGTGGAGCTCCCGGTGGAGGCTGCAGCGGCAGACACCAGGCTGACGGGGTTGCTGGTGAGCAGAGAGAGGTTCTGAGGGTTCAGGAACAGAGGGGCAGTGACGATGTTGGGGGCTGCTCCGGCATTGGCAAACACCAGGTTCCCAGTTGCATCCAGTGACGTTATTGGAAGAGAGCCACCAGAAGCAAGGGCTAGACACAGACCCCGAGAAACAGGCAGGAAGGAGAAGGTTAACGTCATCCTGGAGAAGCTGGACCACATTCCTTACAGCTCTGCGTTTGTTTCATGTAGCTCAGAAAAAGTGCGAGCCTCTGCTGACTTTTCTTCCTCACAGAGCTACACTGATACCAACCGGAATCTATTTACAATTCTGAAGAATGTAAAGGACTGAGAAACATAACTTATTGAGTATCAGCAGGGTAGGTTAAGGAGTTTTAATAACTGTCTAATGATGACTCAGTCATACTTTATCTTTAAATTAAGTTTATTTCATTTAACCTAGAAATACTTGTTAAAGCCAGTAATTTTGTCTTCAATGAAATTGATATTAAACTACCTCTGTTCAAAAGACAAATTAGCTAAAGTCATTAAAGCATTAAAAATATATTTTTTTGTAGGGCTAAGGATGTCACTCATTGGTAAGCACTTGCCTAGTATGCATGAGACCCTGAGTTCTATCCCCAGCACGAGGAAAAAAAAAGTTTTTATTAAACCAACTGGCATTATCGATAAATTTGAGCAAACTCTTCATACACAATGAAAACAGTCTTTATAAAAGGCTTTAGTTATAAAATAAAGTGAAAGGTCTGCCTGATTCTTATTTCCTGGGCAGACCTGCGGTAGCTGCTATAGCAAAAACAGAGAGGCAGTGAGGCACATGGCCTCGGTGGCTGGCCAAGGCCAGCACGTGGTCATCAGGGGAGGACTTCTGTAGGGTGCTGCTGTTCTCCATAAATTCTATCATCAACATCTTATGTAAAATAATTAGGGCCTGGGGCTAGGGCTCAGCGGTAGAACATTTGCCTAGCATGTGTGAGGCCCTGGGTTCGAACGCCAATACCACATAAAAACACTAAATAAACAAAATAAAGGTATTGTGTCCATCTATAATTAAAAATATTAAAAAAATAAAATAAAATAATTAGAACTTCCATTTTATAGCTTATCCTATTACCTGACAACACTCCCACACACTCCCAGTCTCATAACCTCACCCCATATGTGGATTTCAGGGTTTTCTGATGGTACTAAAATTTTGGCTGGTAACATAATCTATAGCTCAAGGGAATGCTCCTGACTTTGGATGTGACCACAGAAATACGACACAACGGTGAGACTTGGTGTACCCTGAAGTTTCCTGATATTCCAGGCTTAGGGTCACAGACCTATTCTAGATCTTCCTAGACTATGATCTGTGGTCAGGCATTACGCCTTTGTAGTATCCCCATATCCCAGAGATACTCCCTAATATAGGAGAAAAAGTGATTTATCATAAATGTAGTCTAAAAAGAAATCCTTGTATAACAAAAAGCTTTAGATCTGACCATCAATTTAGATAGAACTTAAGTAAAACAGAAAGTCAAAATAACATCAGGCAATCAGGGCTATGATGTGTTTTTTCTGCAAGTCAATATTCTCTACAGTATGCAGCTAGACACACCCATGGCACACTAATCTTGATCCAAGCTGACTAATACCTTATTTTTGACTCCAACAATGTTTGTATAAGCACTAAGTAGTCAAGAAAACACTGTTCTGATTAATATGGAGATGCTCTCCTAAATCACACAGCAGCCAGCCCCTTCAGACATGAAACACAGATGCAGAGCAGGACCAACCACCCCTTCCTGATGTGGAGTGCATGTCCCTCGAAGGGCATACAGGGACCCTGCACAGGCTTGGAGGCAACACTACAACCCGAATGAGCCTTCTACCCTGATGTTCATTCAAGAAATAAAAATATCGGGCTGGGGATGTGGCTCAAGCGGTAGCACGCTTGCCTGGCATGCGCGGGGCACTGGGTTCAATCCTCAGCACGAAATAAAGATGTTGTGTCCACTGAAAACTAAAAAATAAATTAAAAAAAAAAAAAGAAATAAAAATGTCCTGGAAATCCACCCATGTGCTCTATTGACCACTCACCATAGGACTGTCTACCCATGGTCTCAGGGGCAGGGTGGGGCTGGGACTTTTACTTGGCCAAATTTGCCTTGAGAAAGATTTGAGATGAGCACTTGGGTACATTTATCTGGAGGAAAAAAAAAATCTGCCTCCAAGTCTACTCACATAAGAAAATAAACATCAGCATAAAGTCCTGGTTTCTTAAAATACACCAAACTGGGTATTCTTCTTACAAACTAACACAAACCTTTTTCACAAGGATATTTTCGTAGTCCTCGAGAAAAAGCCAGTCAGCATTCAACCATCCCTCCATCAAGCTCACCTCTAGCAGAGCAGGCTCCTTGCCCTCGTCTCCCCAGCACAAGCTAACCAAGGAAAGACTCCTGACTCACCTTGAATAGTTGCCAGCGTACTGTTGCTCATCAGAGCTGGGCTGAGAGCACCGCCCAGGGTCCCTGGATTGAGGCTGAGTAAGGCACCTCTGCAAGTCAAAATAGGGGCCACACTATTACACACAGTGTCAGCTCAACAACATCCCCAAAGAACAAGAAAGAAAAACTGGGGTGGGGAAGTACATGGAACTGTTCTCCCTACACTAATGCTTGGCTGCTTCTGAGTTCCTGCTTTCCTTGAGGCTTACTTGCAACAAGGCCATATGGTCTGCACAAACACATGACTTTTACAGCTACTTTGACTCTTCTTTGAATTATGTCATTCTTAAAATAAATAAGTAAATAAAAAAATCCAAACAAACAACAACAAAAAAACTTCAGAGAAAAGGAGAATTTAATTGGGCTGGGGTGGTGGCTCAGTAGTAGAGCACTTGCCTAGCACGCGTGAGGCATTGGGTTCGATCCTCGGCACCACATAAAAATAAAATAAAGGTTATTATGTCCACCTACAATTAAAAAAAATATTTAAAAAAATAACATAAAACCAGGAATCTTCTTACTGCTTCTCTTATCCTTGTTGGAGAATTAGAAAGAAGACTGCTGAGCGTTTAGTGGAGAAAGCACAGAGAGAGTCAGGAATTCTGGGCTTCCTTCCCAGCGCCATCACTGAGATGCTGAGATGCTCAGTTACTAGGTCTCTGGGTCTTCGAGTGGAGAGAAAGGTGTGGCTCTTGCCCTTACCCGAGTGCTGAGCAACCTGGGCTCAACTCTGGAATCAAGGTCCTTGTATGACCACAGAGCAAGCCATTTAAAGAGCCCCCACACCACAAAAGATAGAGATAAAAAGTCTCCCTCATAAGCAATTCCTGGACAACTTTCCAGTTGTTTCTCAGATGTGAACAAAATGAGGACACTCCTTACCCAGGTGCAAACTGTGAAGGTGCCATCAGGCCTGGGCTGAGCCCTGCAGCAGCAGCCATGGCAGCGAGACTGGCGTTTGCTGGCAACTGTGCTGCTCCCTGGAGCGCAGCAGCTGTCTGCAAGCCTGATGCTGTCACCATCACCTGGCTGGTCCCAAGAGAGGAGGACAAAGGAGCAGAGGTGGTCTGTGTTGTGCTGGTCTCGCTGGCACTGGATGCCTCAGAGGTGGAGGCCAAGGCAGAAGGGGAGGGACTCAGAGACGGGGAGGTGACTGCCGAGGAAGCTGGAGGTGCGGTGGAGATCACTGTTGCTGTGTTGTTGGAGGTGCTGTCTGTGGTGCCTGAAAAGAAAGCTGGTTAGAGAAGAACATTCTGGACAGGTGAGGCAGCACATGCCTGTGATCCCAGCCCATCAGGAGGCTGAGGCAGGAAGATCACAAGTTCAAGGATACACTGTGTGTCAAAATATAAAAATGGGTGTGGCTCAGTGGTTGCACTCCTGGGTTTAACCCCCCGTCCCCCCAAAAATAATGAAACCATACGTGATTAGATCGTCACGCTGGACACCACAGGTCTGGAATACATCTCGGAGCTGGTATGTTGGGGCACAGAGGCGAGCGTGACTTAAAGAACGCTGCCACCCTGCCTGAAGCAGGAAAGCTGCCACCCACCTCTCAGAAGATGCCAATTGACCTACAGACACTCGCTACAGGAGACGGTGTAGGACAGGCCCTCTGATGTCAGTTGTCAGGAAGTGGGACACTGGACAAAAACAGCTGTCTAAAGGCAGCCAGGGTTTAATTTGGCGAAACCTTTTATGCACTAGGATATGAGCAACTACATATATGGGTAAAGAAGAACCTAAGTGAGACCTTTTCAGGATAAAAAACTCAAAAGCCAAAAGACCAACCAACCAACCAACACAAAACAAAACCCAATCTCACAAAAACTATATGTAAGCCAGGCACAGTGGGGCACACCTGTAATCCCAGCAGCTTGGGAAGCTGAGGCAGCAGGATTGCAAGTTCAAGGCCAGCCTCAAGAGACCCTATCTAAAAAATAAACAAATAAACAAACAGGGCTGGGAAGGTAGCTCAGTGGTGAAGTACTCTTGGGTTCAGTCCCCAGCACCAAAAACCAACCAAACAAAATTATATATGGAAGACAATGCAGTATAAATAGAACCAGACCAATCAAAATAGGTATCTCGGACCTAAATGGAAAAAATCTCAGGTAAAAGTAATTTTTGTTTCTATTCGTGCTGCGGGAGACTCTCTTCTCCTGTAATGGCCTTATCCGAAATCCTGTGTAGAACAGGATTTGTCTTTCCAGATCTGTTTTGAAACTGTCTTCTGAACACCTTCAAGGCCAGTTCTCTCATGTTCCCTCCCCAGGTTCTTTCCCTTGTCACAGGGCTAGGGTAAGCTCAGGTGTCCCTGTGCCAGCAGTGACTGCCTTCCCACTTCCCATAGTGCTGCCCACGTGCAGTTCTGTGGCCTCTGGCTCCATGGGCCAACCATATCATTGCACACCTGAGAGAGGACTCATTCCTTTCTACCTTTGGGAATATGTGAAAAAGGTGATTCCTTCTTATTGCAGCTGCCCTAGTTCAATAACATCTTTGGAAGTATCATTCACTCCATTTTCACTGATCTCTCTTCAGTTTTAAATCTATCGCTGAGCCTGTGGCTGTGTTGCACCCTGTGCATGGCAGACTCATTACACACTCCTCCACTTGATCCTCTTCCCCAAAGACTTGGTTCTATAGGAAGGTAAATGTCTCTTCTTATTTTCCTTCCACTGCTAAGAAGTTTGAATGTACTTTCAATCTTTTCTTGAACAAATTTTCACCTTACCTAGTTCAATCTTACTACAGACCCACTCCCCTTTCAAAGTTCTGAAACTAAAACTGTCCATTTCATGTCTTAAGGTCAAATAGCTTAAAATGGCTGTTTCCTTTTGCCGCTTTCAAATCATCCAGTATCTCTTTAAAATCCATAGGTTTACAGAGAGAAACTGCAGCCAACTCTTTTGGGTGAACTTAATCTGGGCTAGAAATAAAAACTATTTGGAGTTGTTTTACTTTTGACTGTAATACTCTAAAAGCACAGTCTAGTATCTCCAATGTGAATGTCACACAAGCAACATGGTATAACATGATCTTCAAATTAATTCTCCCAGCCAGTGAGTCATGTTTCAACCAAAAAACACTTTTTATGGCCCCAGCGTCTTGGCAACTGAATTACTTGGGCAATTTTGATCAGTGAATTTAGGCTTACAGAGCCTCAATGTCTGTAACAACCACCGGAGGTGCCACCACCTGACTGGCAGGTAGGCAGGCAGAAGCTGGGACACTGTGTGCAAAGCCCAGCACAGCCCACTAGCTGCCATTCATCTTCTTTGGTAAAATGCACATTAAAGTCTTTTGCTCGTTAAAAAAAAAAAAAGAGTTGCCAAGCAGTGGTAGAATATTCGCCTAGCATCCTCAAAGCTCTCAGTTCAATCTCTAGGGCCTCAACCCACCCCCCAAAAAGAATAGCTCCAATTCCTTATGTTTTCTTCTAGTCTCTGGCTTGTGTTTACACTTTTTTATCCGTGTCTTCTGCTGTACAGAAGATGTTACTTTTGATGAAACTCAATTTAACCTTTTTTTTTTTTTTGGTACTGGGATGCTTAACCATTGAGCCACATCCCTGTTTTATTTTATTTTTTATTTTTAGACAAGAGTCTCAACTAAGTTGCTTAGGGCCTCATTAAGTTGCCCAGGAGAGCCTCGAACTTGCGATCCTTGCTCCTCAGGCTCCCAAGCTGTTGGGATCATGAGTTTGACTGTAGGTGTGTGCCACCAGACTGGGCTTTCTTTTTTGTTGTTGCGTTTTTTAATGGCTTGTGCTTTGGTGCAGCATCTGTGGGAGCTCTTTGTCTACCTAACCCCAAAATTGTGAAGATCTTCTCCTGCCTTTTTATAGAAGGTTATAGGTTTCAGCTCTTACATTTATGCTTTTGGCCCATTTTAGCTAATTTCTGTAAATGATGAGAAGTAAAGGTCTAAACTGATCTTTGTGCATACAGGTATTCAATTGTCCTAGAAATGTTTGTTGAAGGCTCTTTTCTCTTTCATGTTTGTGTTAAAAACAAAAAACAAACAGATAAAAAAACACCAAAGTACAGAGCATAAATTTAAAGGTTTGTTTCTGGTCTCGTACTTCTGTTCCACCGAATCCACCTCTGTGCCAGTATTTTGCTGTCTGGATGACTGTAACTTTATGGTAAGCTTTGAAATCTGGACACACTTGTCTTCTAACTTCATTATTTTCAAAGTTATTTTGGCTATTCTGGGTCCCTTTCATATATTTTACAATGAACATATCAATTTCTCTAAAACAAACAAACAAGAATCTACTGGAATTGTGACCTAATCGTGTTGAAATTATAAATCAATCAAATTGGAGAAACAGTTATTCTTGAGAATGCTGACTCTTCCAAACCATGAACATGGAATATGAAATGTTTACTTATTTAGATTTTCCACAACCTATAGTTTTCATAAGTCTTATGCTTTCGTCATTAAATTTATGACTATTTTACTCTCTGAACCTACTATGTATAAATTATCTTAATTTCATTTTCAGACCATCCATTGACAGTATGCATATACAAATGTGTTTCATTTTTATATACTGATCTTGTGTCTTGCAATAGTGAATTTATTGATAAATCCTAGTAGTTTTATAATAAATTTCTTAGGATTTTTTAAATTTATGGAAGGAACAAGTTGTATTTTGCAAAGATGGCTGGATACAAGATAAATAAGAAAAATTAATTAAGTTTTTACATATTAGCAACAATCACTCAGGAGATAAACATATTAAAATTACTATACACATCAGCACAGAAAAACTCCAAATATCCAGGAATAAAGTTAATCAAAGACATACAAAACTTCTGAAATAAAAACGACAAAATTTTGCCTAAAGGAATTAAAGGCCTAACTAACTAAAGATACGCAATAGCAACCCTTCAGAGGTTAGATGAGTCAATATTCTTAAGACGTACATTCTTCCTTGGGATTTTTTTATACACATAGGATAATGTAAGTAAAGGCAGTTTAACTTTTCTTCCACATGGGATATCTTTAATCCTTTTTTCCTTTACTAAACTGGCTATTATCTCCAGTTAAATGTTAAGAGCACCCAATCTCAAGGGTGGGGGAGCATCAGTCTTTTACCAGTCTTTCATAGTGTGAGCTGCAGGGTTAGGAGATGCTTTTTATCAGATAAGGCAAGTTCCTTCTGGTCCAAGCCAAAGGATTTTTATCATAAATGGGTTTGGACTCTATCACATACTTTCTCCTTTATTCATTAGGATGATCATTGCTGTTTTTGCCCCTTTTCTATTACTTTACTGTTGTGTCAGCTTTTTGTCAATATGACCAAAATACCTGACATGATAACTTAAAGGAGGAAAGCTTTATTTTGGTTCAGTTGCAGAAGTTTTAGTCCATGGTAGGCTGACTCCATTGCTTCAGGCCTGACACGAGGCAGAGCATCATTGTGGAAGGGTTTGGCAGAGGAAAGGTATGGAGCTTTCCATGAGGACGAGAGAGACAGAGAAGGGTCGGGGATCAGATACAGATCCAAGGGCATACCAGCAAGGACCCCTGACCCCTCCCTCCAATGAGGCTCCACCTCCTACAGTTTCTACCACCTCCAAAGGATTAATCCGCTAATGAGGTTAAAGTCCACATGATCCAAATACTTCCCAAATGTTCCACCTGTGGACACTGCTGTAAAGGGGAGTACACCTTTAACACATGAACTCTGGAGGACAGTTCAGACATAACCACAAATCTATTACGTTAACTGATGTTCATAGGTTAAACTAACCATACATTCTTGGGTAAGATTCTGCTAGGGTTTTGGATTTATTTTCACCAACATGAGTCTGTAATATTTTTTCCTGTGACATATTTATTGAGCTTTGGTACCAGGATACACTAGCCTCTTACAAGTAAAGTGTCCCTCTTTCTCTGTTTCCTGGAAGAGATGTATGTTCTCTGTGTACTTGAAAAGAATGCGCTTTCACATTCACGGCAGTCAAGACAGGCTGGATGACAGCCCTGCTCGAATCTTGCATATCCCTGAAACTTTTTTGTACATAGTACAAGCATTGAAAATGTAGTGTTAATTCTTTCAACTACATTGCTGCATTGCCTATTTCTCCTTTTAATTCTATCACTTTTACTTCCTGCATCTTGGGACTCTGTTGTTAAGTAACTAAATGATTAAAATTGTTCAATAATAAACTTTTTTTGTCCATTATAAAACACATTTTGGAAAAAAATGGAGGCAGAGCATATTTAGTTCAGATTATCAATGACAGTGGCATTTTTGCAAGATTCTGAGATACGTGTCTTTCTAGAAGAGCATATAATCCTAATCATTGTATCCATTCTAAAAATGTTTACCAAGGCCTTTTATGTGCCAAGCACCATGGGAAAATAAAGACGACCATAACGATCAAACAAGATTTTTCTTAAAAGGAGTAGACTGAGTATACGTGTTTTCTCTTTGCTTCTGAAATCCAACTCCAAATGATAGCAAAGCAACACAAAAGGGAATATGTTCTGGGGTTAGATATGAGATATAAGATTTAGATACTTTTGCAAAAATGAGAAGAAAGAAACTGGGTGGTGGAGACTAAGGATGGTCCAGATGGGCGCAGGAGAAGGTTGCAGAATGAAGGGGGAATGAATCACTTAGAGGGAGCCCTGAGAAGAGTCCAAACTCAGAGCTTCTGGTACTGCTGAGGCAGAAGTAGGAAACAGGACCAGAGAAGAGAGTGACTGAAGGACTGTTCACACACTGGGCCTCTCTCTCTAGGACCTCCCACACGTCACCTACTCCTGAGGACGGGCGGCTAGATCCTGGTGCAGGCATGAGCATGTACAAGTAAAGAGCCTTGGGGGAAGTGCAGGTGTGAAGCCCTGCTTGCTCCTGCCTCCCACCTGCATACCCCGAAATAGTCTGGCTGGTCTTGGTCACACTCATAGCTAGCCCTTCCATTCAGGGGGCAGACTGTTGAGTAACAGAAGCCACATGATGGCAGGAAAAAACCCACAAGCTACTGACAATAAGGAATATGGCCCTGCATTCATGAGTATAAGAAAAAAAAAATCAAAATACCAGAAAAAAGGGGGGGGGGACAGCACAAAGAAATGATACAAAATGAATAAATGCAGCTAGTGCCAGAAGGAATAATTTTTATAAATAAAGATAAATGGCCAGAATTGTTTACAGAATATGACACGAACTCAGATTGAAAGTGCTTGCTGACAGCCAATGAGGATACAATTTAAGTATCCATACTTAATTTTTAAAAAAATTTTAATTAGTGCATTATAGTTATTCTTAACATAATTTGCTCCATTCCAGTTCCCAGTACTGTTCCTTCCCACCTTCCTCCCTCACCCAGAGCCCCTTCCACTACTCTATTAGTCTTCCTTTAATTAATTTATTAAAATTAATTTTAATAAATTAAAATTAATTTATTTTTAAAATTAGTGCATTCTACACAAGAGCGGAATTCAGGGTGATAGATTCATGCATGCACTTGATGCAGTTTGGTTATTTTCATTCTGGCCTCTCACCACCCTTCCATTCCCCTTCCTGTACTCCTCTATTCTCCCTTCTGATTTCACGAGATTACCCACAGCTTGAAACCTTCTAGGAAAATTTCAGAACGCTGAAGTATGAAACTCCTCAATGTTTCACAGTGAAAGAAACAACCTATTAAGAGACTGAAGTTAAAAGACTTCACTGGCAACACTGGATGCTATAACACAACTTCAAAGTTCAAAGGAGAAATAATTTTGCACCTAGAATTCTATTACTAGATAAACTCCAAAAAAAAAAAAAAATCATGAAGACATACTTTTCAGGTATGCCTGTACTCATACATTTTACTCCCCAAATAGTCTAAGTAAAGAAAAAGACCACTTGAGAATGTGTTCCGAACAAAAAGGAATCAAAGAGGAAGACATGGGATCTAAGAGACATTTACTTTAACTTAGTGTTTCAGTTAGCATTTTTGCTGCTGTTACTAAAAGACCTGACAAGAACAATTTTAGAGGAAAAAATATTTGCTTTGGGGGCTCAGTTTCAGAAGCCCCAGGCCACAGCTAGCTAGCTCCATTCCTTGCGTCTAAAGGTGAAGCAAAATATCATGGTGGAAAGAACATCCTGGCAGTAGAGTGTGACAGAGGAAAGCAGGTCAGGACAGGGCCACCAAGAAACAGTGTCTCCACTTGCCAGACACAAAATATATACCCCAAGGCACATTCCTCATGACCCACCTCCTCTAGCCACACCGTACCACTTTCAGTTACCACTCAGCTAATGCCCATCACTGATTGGGTTAAGGCTCTCGAAACCAATCAGTTCACCTCTGAATGTTCTTATATGAGCTTCTAGGGGACACCGGTTATCTAAATCATAACACTTAGGAATTCTCTGAAATTAAAACAAGCAATTGTAGGAACCCGAGAAGAAAGTCTGCAAGAAGGAGATGGATTGCATTAGACAGGTTGTACACTTGATGTCCTTAATAAATAGCGAGGTAAAGGAACATACTACTTTTTGTCAATAGAAAAAAAGAAAAGGCATATAGAAATGTCCAAGGAAAAGAGGTTAAATAAGAAAGAAAGAGTCCAAAGAGGAATAACAAATTAAAATGGGGCATGACTTTGAGCAATAGCTGATAAGAAGGCAAAACCCATTTGACTCCAATTCTTGTAATCTTTTTATAATGCAACAATGCTATGAGATTACATTTTCTCCTGTAGATTCAATTATGAGCTGGCCTTGTACAATACCTAGGCAAACATTATTACACTTACTTTTAATTGTTGTATAACAAAGTCGCACATATTCAGTAGCTTAAAACAACATGATTCATCATCTCACAGTTTCTGTGGGGCAAATGTCCAGGCCCAGCACAGCTGGGTCCTCAACTTAGGGTATCATAATAAGGATGTGAATACCACACTGGGTGAAGATCACTGAGACTCTATGTATAAAACATTTTGAAGAAAAAGCAAGAATAGTATTTGCTGTGATGTTTTTCCCTGTTTGAATTTTCTGTAAGATAAATTTCTTAATAATTAAAGAAAAAAATCCATCATTCCAAGAAGAGTTATCAACTTTTCATAAAACAATTACAATTAAATCCACATACATGGGTTGAGTAACTGAATTCAAGAAAATGTGATCCAAAAATGGATACAAATTTACAGTTTACAGTTAATTTTGAGTATATACAGATTCTTAAAATTACTTTGATTTTTTTTTTCACATTTTAAGAAATCGGTAAATATGTGTGTGTATGTGTGTTTTAAAGTTGGTTTTTCATAATATTGCCCAGGCTGGCCTGGAATTCCTGGGCTCCAGTGATCCTCCTGCCTTAGCTTCCTGAGTTGATGGGACTATAGGGAAGTGCCACTATACCTGGCCCTAGCTATGTGTTTTTAATATCTGGACCATTAGGAGTCTCTATGCAGAAAATGAATTATCTTTAGGTCTAACACAATGTGATTTATAACTAGTTGGGAAGGTGAAGTCCAGTTCACAATTTCCAGATAACTGGAGTAGGGTGAGACAGTTTATCAGAGGTAGGCACTTTTGCTGATGCCTAGCACAATGCCAATCTGCCTCTAACAGTTTGCTTAGCAAGACACAGTACTGAATAGTGTGGACACATTGACCAAAGGTTTTGAACCTGGAGTGTGTAGGCTCCTAAGGCACCCATGAATAGCTGGAGACAGGGAGGACACTGACGGGGGATATTATATACACACTGCCTTAGACTTTACTAAAACTTGTGAGTATGTCTATTTTATGGGAGGTAGAGAAAAGTCCATAGCTTTCAAATTCTCAAAGATCTAACACTCAAAATAATTCAACAAGTGCTATTTAAAATAAAAAAATAAAGTTTTCTAATAACTTAGAAATGTAATAAAGCATAAAGCCATTTTGAATTTTTATATCATGTTAACATAGTTGAAAACGTGAGTGAAGAAAACCAAAGACCTCATTCTAGGTCAAATCAAGTTTGATAGTGAAAGATCACAAACCACCCAGTGACTTACTAGCATGTCACTGACTTGGTGAGTAATTATGGCATATCTTATACATCATGTGTCATGAAAATATTTGATGACAATATGAAGTCATCTTAAATGTATTGGGAAATTTGTTTCTTAAAGGAGGACAAAAGGAGAAAAGAGCATTTATTCATTTTACCATGAGAGTCAGGTATCAAAAAGAACACAGTGCTGAGATCTTCTGAGAAGTACAAAGGCCCACTGGGAAAGGCAGGTTTTTAAAATATAATACAGGTAAGTGGCAGTGAACAGCTTCCTTGGCAAGCTAAAGAACACTTCTAAAAAGAATTGACCTGTAATCTGACCAAAACTGCAGACTACAATGGACAGACATTTCAGGCTGTAAGAAAGTGTACAGAGGTATAGATGGAGGCCTCCCATGTGCTGGTTGGAATGGGCCAAGGTCCAGAATGAAAATAATCTATGAACTGATGAATTTGGAGGTTTTGCTGAATACAAAAAGCCATAGCTATTAAAGGTCTGTGAAGAAAGGACTGCTGTGAAAAAAATGTTTGTGTTTTTAAAAGATAATGCTGGGAACAATGTAGGAGGTGAACTAATGTGGGAAAGAAGAGGTAAGAAGGGCTAGAATTGTGACTCAGAGGTAGAGCACTCACCTACCATGCATGAGGCACTGGGTTCTATCCTCAGCACCACATAAAAATAAAAATAATGATATAAAGATATTGGGTCCACCTATAATTAAAAAACAAATGTTTAAAAAAAAAAAAGAGGTAAGAAAATCCTTGGGTGAAAGTGTTTGTTTTTTTCCTACTAAAATTGATCATACCGGATCTTTTTTGAAGTTCAGGTTTTCATATAGAAAACTAACTTTCTTTGTGGCACTGGGGATTGAACCCAGGGTCTCACACATGCTAGGTAAGTGCTCTACCACCAAGCCACATCCCCAGCTCTTTTACTTTGAAAAGGGCCTTCCAGAGTTGCCCAGGCTGGCCTTACGCTTGTGATCCTTCTCCTCAGCCTGCTGAGCAGTGGGAATTATGGGCAAGTGCCCAGGCATTTGACCATAAATAACTTTTTAAAAAAGCAATATGTGTCTTTAGTTGGAGCCTTAATTGACAATTTAGTGGCAGACTATCAGGGAAACTTATCACAGGCTGACTAGGTGCTGACAACCACAGGTGTGGCTACTGCGTACCTGAAACAGAGAGGCTGGTCACTGTGGCACTGGTCAGGGGGAGTACAGGGTTGACTGTGAGGGTAGTTGCTGTACTGCTTGTCACAAGGCTTGGTGTGGTTGCCACCTACAGGTCAGACACAAAGACACAAAGAAAGCACTCAAACTCAAACCTTGAGACATGCTTAGGTTTCAATAATGTTGAGTCAGATACACGCTAAGTCAGTAAGAAATGGTATACTAATTATCCACTTTACCTAAACAAGAAAACGACATGGCAGGATCAGGAATCTGAGGTTCTTGTATAACTTTTACTTTTGATTCTGTGGGGGCAAGATTGTCTCATTTTTGATACCATACAAAAAAACTGCAAAGCAAATGTTTAAAAAACTTTCTTTTTGAAATAACAAAATAGTTCTGGAGTTTTATATAAAAAAATATTGCCTTCTTTCTAATACAAATAAATGTGAAACAACAAATAGTCACATACACAAAATAAAACTTACCTAATGCCCATCTTCTTCATAACAGCTATCTCATTAACTTAAAGGTTTTAGCCGCGCCATTTAAGAACCAAACATGTGCTTTTAATGCTGACTTTAGGTTAAAATACCTTCCTAAATGCCATGTTATTTAAATAACAAATTAACAAAAACGGAAAGAGAAATGCAAACTCGACAATCTTTACCTTTTGAGCCCCCAGGGGCACGGGGGCAGTCACATTTATGATTGCTCTAGAAATCAGGGGAGCCATGTGGCTACTACATTTCCTTCCGTCTGGGAACACCATCCTAAGTGCGGACAGCAGGAGTCACTCGAGGAGGTAGTCTATGAAGAACCATGCGTGTGAGAGTGAAGGTCTGAGGCGACTGCCTGAGCACAGCCAAGGCCACAGTTTACCTGGGAACTTACTATCACTCAGTTATAATAACTGTAGAACATCAGGCTTTAGGCCTTCATATAAGTCAAGAGTAATTAATTTTTTTTGAGATAACTAAAAAAAATTTACCACTATGGTTACAGTTATTGGTTACCCAATAAACTATACCAGAGACAAAAACAATGAAAATGCAATGAAATAGGTAAAGAATTAAAACTGTTCATTTTAAAAAATAAGAAAGACCATTAACTTCTTGGATTAGAATGTGAAATTTCACTATTTTGGAAATATCTGAAATATAAATTTATATACACTTATTCAATATGAATGCTGTACATATACAATAAATTCCTGTCTGTTAGAAAATAAACTGACGTCAGAAGCCGTCTGTGAAATCGTAAGTGAGCCCTGAGCCCACATCTGCCATCTCTGTTCTTACCAGTGAGGTTGGGCTGGGGAAGATTGCTTTGATAGGTGAGCTGCTGGTCCCACCACTGCTTGGTGGGTTGATTCTTTTTTCCTTCTGCCGGCGGTTACAGAACCACACCCGAATCACCTCCTTTTCCATATTGAGCTGTTCAGCAATCAAGGTGATCTCTTCCGAGGTAGGCTTTTGATTCTGAAGAAAAAAAATCCCATCTTTTGGAATAACTTTTTGAACAAATGATATTGATACAATCATAGAGAAAAGCAAGTCAGAAAATGAAGTCAGGAAACTTATGACCATATTAGGCCACTTTCGATATAGATACAATTTCTAATGAATCTGCTCATGTTAACTTTGAATAGGCTATTCTTGAATATTTAGACATAAAATTATTTATAAAAGGTGCATTAATTTTGGGAGTGGGTGCGATACTGGGGATTGAACCCAGGGGTGCTCTACCAGTGAGCTCCATCCCCAGCCCTTTCTATTATTTTTATTTTGAGACAAGGTCTAATTTGCCAAGGCTGGCCTTCAAATTTTGGTTCTTCTGACTCAGTTACCCAAGTCACTAGGATCATATATGTGCGCATCACTGCACCTGACTCTCAATCCTTTGAACTAGAGAAGTCACAATTCTGGGGCTAGGGTCGTGGCTTAGTGTTAGAGTGCTTGCCTAGCACACGTGAGGCCCTGGGTTCGATCCTCAGCACCACATAAAAATGAAGTAAAGATATTGTGTTCACCTACAACTAAAAAAATAAATATTTAAAAAAAAGGAGTCAGAATTCTGTTGGAAGCTTTTATTATAATATTCCCTAGTACAAAAGAGATGCTGAGAGGGGCTGAGATTGGGGCTTAGCGGCAGAGCACTTGTCTCCCACATGTAAGTCACTGGGTTTGATCCTCAGCACCACATAAACTTGAATACAAAACACAGAAACTGTGTCCATGTATAACTAAAAGAGAGAGAGAGAGAGAGAGAGAGAGAGAGAGAGAGAGAGAGAGAGAGAAAACATGATGAGTGTCTTCAGAGTTATCTTAAACTTCAAGATCTCTAGTATTTGGCCCCAAACTACCATTGTAGGCCACTGGTATCTCACTGGTGCAGCCCAGGCAGTTCCTCAACTTGAAGTGCTTTCCACCATCTTCTCTAGGCTGTAGAGGTAGCTGCCATGCATCCTACGGATGGGTCACTGCCACCTCTTGCGCACAGAACACATACACATGGCTGCCACCAACTCTCTGGCCTGTCTTCGTGGTAAATAATCTGCCTTGTCTCATTTTCTCCACTATGTTGTAAGTGTCCTACATTAACTACAGATAATTCCGTGCACAGGAAAAGCAGACCCTTACTGACCTCCAGGAAACTCTTCTCTAAGGCCGCACGGATGTTGGTCTCTATGCTGGTGCGTTTCTTTCTCCTCCGATTCAAGCCCTCAACTCCCTGTCCTGAGGAATTGAGGGCACTTGGGCTGGAGACAGCTGAATCAGATGAGAGGTTCTCTGTAAGAATGAAAAAAATAGAAATAAGATTTCGATGTGATCATATGTGCACAACACATGTTAACCCCACCAACAAAATGGATAAAACATTTTCAACTACATCCTAGCATAAGAGGTCTTCACCCACGCTACATCACAACACCACATGGATTCAGTGCTCGTACTGGTATTCTCTGGCCAGGATGGCTGGCTACAGAGCCACCACACTACTTTTTTGGTTCTCTTTCTGAGAATGTAGAAGTTTACTATTCCTATGTTTTGACTCAGATCTCTCTCAGTTCTGTTCTTATGTTTTGTTCTTTTTATAAAACCGATAAAAGGGGATAAAAGGGAGAAAGCCTCTTGAAAATTGTTGACTGTTTAATATAATATTTATCTTACAAATGACCTTTCATTTTATTTGTATGATATGAGGGCGGGGAGAGAAAGACTACTTGTAAATTCCTTAGTTAAAATAATGTTCTGTCATTTAATAGCTTAGCGACCCACAGTATGGCACACTCATCTCTGGACTTCTTTCTACTACATGGAGAACGAGATAGAGCAGACCAGCAGCTCTCTCACCTGGGATACTCAGAAGGATGTGATGGCTCACCCAAGGCTACTGAAATGACCAAAGGTGTGTTTTCAAAAGGCCTGATTTTTGTTCACATCTACAAAGAGAACCACAATCTAGGGCACCTTTTTGGTTCCCTTTGGCTCTCATGGTTTATCATTCTGTGGTTCAAAACCCAATTTTCCAAAAGGAAATCTTGGCACAAAATAGGTAAGACTAGAAGCCCAAATTTTTGTATAAAATATGTGCCATCTTTAATAATGAAAGCAGAAGTGTTATCAGGAACAAGTTCTATGATAATACCCCAAGGAAGAAGCAACAAATCTGCTGAACTTTATCTAACTACACAGCCTTCTTCTCTTCCTCAAATTTGAGTGCACGTCGAAATCCTGGCTCAAACACAACAGGTATTTGAAAGCTGAAAAGTATTGCTTATTATTTACATTGTCATTATTAGAATATTTAAAAGAATTAGCTCTCTGATTTACATAGCCATAGTTTATGATCCTCCCAGGAGTAGTGGGCTTCAAAATTTTGTAGTAAGCTGGGATTGTGAAACAGACCTCTTGTCTCTTACATGTGAGGCACTAGGTTTGATCCTCAGCACCACATAAAAATAAGTAAATAAAATAAAGATATTGTATCCTTGTATAACTAAAATATTTTTAAAAATTATAGTAATAATTGTACAGTAAAAATTTAAAACTCTATAGTTTATACAAAATTCCAATGAACACTGAAGAAATATTTTATACCTCACTTACCTGCATCATTTAGCCACTTCTCTAAAAGTGGCTTTAACTTGCACATGTTCTTAAAGCTGAGGTTCAAGGCTTCAAAGCGAGAGATGGTAGTTTGGCTGAAGTCATTTCCATATAGTTTACCCATAGCAAGCCCAACATCACCCTGCACAAGCCAGAGCAGGAAATGGGGAGAGAAGAAAAGAGGTTCATCTCATTAATAATCCTTCCTTCTGGGGGGATGCTCCAATAACTGCTCTAGACAAAGATTCAAAAGTCATTCTCTTTACTGGGTCCTGCACAAGCTCCACCCCTAAGCTGAGCACAATATTATAAAGGAGGACTCTGTAGGGCTTTGATCCATGTCAGTGTTCAACTCTGCCCCATATACTTTCCATTTTGAATCTCTTTTTGCTATCTTATGATAATCATGATACCAAAACTTCTGTAAGTCTCTAAAACAGGGTGATATTCTTAATCAATGCAACCAAAGTAATATAAGTAATCTTTAAAAATCAATTCACCTGTATCACCTACCAGGATTAGATGTAACTGTCTAGAAAACCCCAGACATTTCTGAGCTAATCAAACTTCCCATAACACACTTCAAAAATTACAAATGATCCTTCATTCTTTTTATTTTTTTCTTATGAAGTATTTTTGGAAGCTGGGGGGGGGGAATCAATTTTCACCCTTAGTTTGGATTTCAAAGTTGGTTACAAAAACAGGTATTCAAAAAGATCACTTTTGTAACCATTGTAGAGATAGAAATTCACAGTAGAGAGGTCTGACCCATTTAGTCAAAGCTTCATGGGTCCTGGAAACCTGGTGGCTGTAGAGAACAATGATTCCTGAATGTATTATAGAATGTGTCTTTCACCAGGCACCTGGAACCTTTGAAATGTGCACGTGCTTTTCTTCCAGCTGGATTTTCCCTGTTCAAGCTGGAAAAGGCCAGGTGTTAACAGGCAGAAGCTCATGGAGTTTAAATGAGGTATCCACTCATTTCAATTAGTTCAGTGACAGGGACAAAAGGCAACAGCAGCTAATTCTCCCAAGAGGCAGCCTGCTCCAGCTATCCTGGCCACACTGATACTGAACTGGACTGTCCCACCTGTGACCCACCCCATCATCTTCTGGATACTGTACTGTTATCAGCATCTGCATCAGGTAGTGGTTAAGGAAAAGAAAAAACTCCCCCTGCCCAACTCCGTTTTCTTACAAGTGAAGTACTCCTGACAAAAAGTTTCACAGAACACAAATATGAATAAAATGAGGCATAGAGAATACTTAAACTTCAAGTCATCTACAGCCCAGGACTCCCATATGAAAGCCACAAGCCATACAAGGCTATTTACATTAAAATTCATTAACATCAAATTAACTAAAACTGCAGTTCATCAGAACATTCCTTTTCTGTTGGTGCTGGGCAGACGCTGTGGCTTCCAATGCAGTGGACTGCTCATCACCTACCTCCCAATTAGACGGGAGGGAGGGACCTGGATGGGGCAGGCTGCATAGAGGGAGCGCTCCTCTACCAGGGGCACTCCCGAGTGTCTGCTGCGGGCCAGGCACTGACCTTAGGCCCATGTGCTGCTACACATTCACACCCGGGCCACTCCATCCATTTAAGTTTATGGTTTCAAAAAAACTGGGGCAACTTAAACTTGCAATTTTTTGAGTATGACACTGAGTAGCAGTTAGATGACAAAAAATGTTTTCTGAAGTACAGTGGAAAAATTCACTAACAATTTTTTACAAATACCTGTAATATTTAATCATGAAAGTAATAATTTTGACAAGTACGGAAAAAATACCTATTCAAAAAAATCATGTCAGCTGGGTATGTTGGTGCAGGCCTATAATCCCAGTGGCTCAGGAGGCTGAGGCAGGAAGACTGTGAATTCAAAGCCAGTCTTAGCAACTTAGGCCCAAAGCAACTCAATAAGAACATAAAATATTAAAAAAAAAGGGGGGGGGTTGTGTATGTGGCTCAGTGGACAAGCACCCCTGTGTTCAATCCCTGGTATCAAAAAAACAAAACAAAACAAAACAAAAAAACCCATCACATCATAGCAAGTATAAAAAAACAATACTTTCAGTTGGTGTCTGGTAAAGCTGTGCCATCAACTAGAACCATGCCAATAAATGGCAAATTCACTTACCTGAGATTTGTAATACAATGTTACTCCACTCTTAAATTGTTTGGTGGAATAAAAATCAGTATGTCCTTTAGTTAACATATCAATTTTCAAAATTTTGCTATGTGCTTGGATAAGTGATTGTGAAACTCTTGGATTCTTCCCCACAAGTCAAACATTTTAAATAGCTGATTCATACATGATCTGAACTATATTATAGCCCCTAAATATTTTTAAAAAGAGCAAGAGGAATAAAGAAAGATTGGGACTGGGAAATAATGAATCCACTACATTTTGTAAACGTGTTATACCTTATGACATGCTTTATAATAATGTAATAACACCCACAGCAATCCTTTAGTAAGTACTTATGTAATTAGAACATAATTGTTCTAATAATGTATATTTACTCAGAGAATAGGGATTTGTTTCAATAATGTTTAACTTTCCTTCTGTGTATTAATATAATAACCAGATACAATTCTGCTTTTGCATAACTACAACAAAGGTGAGTAACTTAAAAGCTAAGTTGATTTTCTCATGCTGCAGCAGTACATGTGTTTTAATCCACCTAATCAAGGTTTGCAAACTCCTATAACTGCTATGTCCAAGTTATTTTGAAAAATAAGGAATGGTCATGCAAAACACAGGATGGAACCATAAAGCAGAACACAGGCCCACAGGAGAACTCCTTTACCTGGAGAGGGAGGGACACACACACACACACACACACACACACACACACACACACACACACACAACACTGGCAATGTATCAGGTCATATGCTGCAGAAAGGTGAACCATGATTTGGGTGAATGTTAAAAAATAAAAGCCTTGGCATATCACTTAAGCAAAAATCTCCCAGGAAACCCAAGAGTATGCTGTGCTAATAGCTTAAAACTGGGCACACTGCTAAACATGCTAATACCTATTTCAGCTTATTAACTTACCCTTTCAATCAATCCAGTTTTAATCCTTTCAATCCAGTTTAATCTTGAGCTTTATTTTTAAAACAAGTCAGATCACTCAGGTGCTTAAAAAGTACTAAAGTGTTTCTGGATTGTAATTTGTTTCTTTATAACCGAACTCCTCAAAAATGTAACAAAATTTCACCTAAAATTACATCTATTTTAAAAATCATTGTTTTCCTAATGCGTACTTTCTTTGAACAAAAAAAAAATCCCAAATAAATATAACAGAAATCCATTTATAAAAACATAAATAAACATCAACTAAAATATTATAAGCAGAGATATCATCTTGATTTTTGATCCACCAGAGCAGATGGTGCATTACATACTTTCAACACAAAATAATTAGGGTAGTATATAAATGTTGGCTTAAATTCCAAATAATAACTATATTCTCTGGAAAGAAAATTTTAGGATTTTTCTGGACTCCATAAAAACACCCAACCCAACCCATACTTCAGGTTTTATTCCTCCACCTAATAACCTCTGACACTGTGTACCAAGGTCATTCAGATGAACTCTTCTGCTCTGATAAAAGGTATGACTCAGGGCAGTGCTCAGAGTGAAAATGGAGGATGCCCAGATGACTGCAGAGTACCCTCCTTCCATAGGAGAGCCCGCTGCTAGCTGACATTAAAAAAATAATTTGGACTTTGATTAATTTGTATTTTTCATTTTCAATAGACTCTTACTTGATTAACTGGTTTCAACACAGGCTTAGAGAGATTGTGTGTGTCTACCCCCACCCTCTTCTCCAAAAGCTATTATTCTTTTCTTTCCTTTTTTTTTTTTTTTTTTGGTATTGGGAAGAGAACCCAGGGGTACTTTACCATGGAGCTACATTCCTCAGCCCTTTTGTGCTGCACTTTCTACTTGGAGGCAGATCTTACTAAGTTGCTTAGGTCCTTGCTAAACTGCTGAAACGGCCATGGAATTTGCAATCCTCCTGTGCCAGCCTCCCAAGTCACTGGGAAAAAAACTATTTTTAAATGAGTCTTTCAAACATATCCATTTCAGCTATTATAAATAAACACTGTAAGTTTTACTCTTCGATAATGTAGCAGTAAGGTCACAACCAGATGTTCTTCAAATAATAAAACCTTCAGTACAGTTATATCATCCCCCAATAAAATCTTTCAAACGCTCATAATTTATTAATGTAACTGTGATTTCAGAGGCCTGGGCTGTGGGATGAATCTTGGATGTTTTATCTAACATTAAATCATAAATGTACGACTGTAACTTATAGCTGAATGCATAACATTCTAAACTTACAAATGCTAAATATGACAAGAAATCTATAGTCAAATCAAAACCCACCATGTCCGAGGGACACCCTGCTCCCTGAAGCCCTGAGACTCCCACCAGGAGGCTGTCTGGGGGTCTCCTCCTACCTGAGTGAAGCCGAGTTTGATCCGCCTCTGTTTGAAGGTCTTGGCAAACTGCTCGAGCTCCTCAAGGTCGCTGGGCTCCTCCAAGCTGGGAGTGTCGATGCGCTTTGGTGTGGTCTGGCTCTGCGGAAGTGTCTGGATAGGGGTTGCTGCTATTGTGCGTGTTGGGGTTGCTGGCTGTTGTGAAGGGACAAAATGACAAACAAGCAAAAGACATTTAATTTACAACAGTGACGTGCTGCAACCAAACACATTAAGACACTAGTTGACTTGTGGAGAATGAGGATGACCAGGGAGCACTACAGAGGGTATAGCACACAGTTCACGGCAGCGGCCGGCCTGGGCTTAGGCACAGGGCAATCACAGCAAAGGGTGAGCAAAGCAGGTCTAGGGAAAAAACCTGAAAACATACAGATAATATCAACTGTAGTGAGCACATGATCCTTATGTCTCTTTAAAGATGTATCTCATGAACTGCCACACAGATTGGCAAACAGCAGGGACTACATCTGACTTACTCCATCTCCAAATGTGACAGTATTATAAGACTATCAAGACCATTTTACAGGAGAATTTAAACAAATTGCCTGTACTTTAAAATAACTTAAACAGGCATCATTTGGAGTATTTATTAAATTTTTACCTACAGGCCTACTTTTTAACCCTACCTGTAATTATGATTATGTGATACATGATTTTATATTATACTTTCTCAGGTAATATTTTTCTATGGTGATTTAGTCTTTAAGATTATCCTTTTCAAAGTATTAGGCAGTTTTGTCATAATTTATTTAACCATTTCTTAATTGCTGGACAGTTTTTCATTTATGTTTCATTCTATAACACAGAAAATACCACAAGGAAAAACTTTGCACATCTAGTTATCTATGTGTAAGCAGCTCCTCAAGATCAATTCACAACATTCTTCTGGCAATGGACAAATAATGTCCTGGTTTTGATATGCTACTGTAGTCTCTACTCATGACACCTAGCTTCCTCCACGCGGATGGTGTCAGCAGTTCCTTTATTTCCACTTTGGGTGATTATGAACAAATCTGCATATCCAATATACATGGGGTCTTCCATTTCTGCAGACATGTGCCTTCATTTCTAGGAGTCATAAGACACCTTATAAGAAACTGCCAAACTAATTTACAAAATGTGTATACATTTTGTTCCTCATGGTATACACTCAACGTCACCTCTGCTATAACTTGTATTCCTTACTACTTTCTACTACATAGAAATCGTGTTAATTATTATCTGCATTTTCTTGGATGTGAACTAGATTTATATCCTTAACCCACTTATATATTAATGATATCCTCATTCTTGTTCTTAAATTTTGTCAAACATTTACCAAATGTGGCAGTGTGTGCCTTAGTGTAATCATATTAATGAAAATAATTTTCCAAATGTGCTTTCTTTCTTTTAACTTCAATGCACTAAACTTCAAATGATCATTTGGTTTGAGAAGTCTTCCTACCTTCCAGCATCTTCAGTAGTTCAAATGGGAGAAAGCACTACTTATTTCAAACACTGAACTGAGAAGTTTCCTTCTGATAATCTGCTACCACCTTCTTTATATTTTGTTTAATTACTTATATCTATGTAAAGTTTAGTCTGGGACATAAAATTATAGTCTGTCACCTTCTTTATCTCTCTTTGTGCTAAAGACTCAGTCCAGGGCCTAGGGTATGCTAAGCATGTGCTCTAGCCTCTAGCACTGAGCTACCTCTAGTCCTTGTCCGTGTGTCTTTTTTTTTTGGTACCAGGGATTGAACCCAGGGGTGCTTAACCACTGAGCCATATCCCCAGCGCTTTTTCAAAATTTATTTTTTATTGTATATTTTGAGACGTGGCTCACTAAGTGGCTAAATTGCTGAGTCTGGTTTTGAACTCATGATCCTCCTGCCCAGCCTTCTGAATTGGTGCACCACTGCCTGCCTCTCTTTCCTAAAAAGGCTAGTGTTCTCCTCACAAGCCCTGAGTAGGACTCTCTAGAACCTCTCGTGAGTACTCACTAATGGGAAGTGCTACTCTTATTTTGTATCCTGATTGCTCAGCTGAACAGCAGCTTGTTGAACAGTAGCCAGGTGAAGGATTACAGAACAAGGCTTCAGATAAAGACTAAGAATTTCCCTTTGTGAAATTCAGATGAGTCATATACCCGACTTTGATTTCGTTAGTCAAGGCTCTCTACAAGGAACTGATAAAGCAGAAAACTACAATAGGCACCACACCATCACTGGGTAAGTTCATTTCTATCTGCATATCCAATATACATGGGTCTTCCATTTCTGCAGACATGTGCCTTCATTTCTAGGAGTCATAAGACACATATAAGAAACTGCCAAACTAATTTACAAAGTGTGTATACCACTTTGCAAAACCACTAGCAATGCATGAAAAATTCAGTTGCTTTACATTTTTGTTGGCACTTGGTACTAAGCATGGCTCACATTCTAGTGAATGTGCAGGGATACTCCATTTGCATTTCCTTGATGACTCAAGATACTGGGCATGTTTTCTTGCTTGTTGGGCATTTGCACATCTTCTTTGGTAAAAAGGCTTCAAATTTTCTTGCCTCTTCACTGGCTTAAATCCAGTTGTGTTATTATTGAGTTGTAAAGATTTGTATCCAGAATAAAAAACTCTTTACCAGATATGTTTTAAGAATATTTTCTCCCCATCTGTGCTTTTTCATTTTATCCTCTTAAGCTTTAAATTTTTATGCAATTAATCAATTTTATTATTTCATGGTTAATGCTTTGTGCACTGTTTCACAAAATCATTGCCTTACCTAAAGGCATAACAATTGTTCCCCAAGTTTTCTTCTGCAAGTTTAGGTCTATGACCCATTTCAAATTAATCTTTGCATATGGTATGAAATAAGGGTCTAGGTGCTTAAATAACATTAAAGGTTTGTTTTTGTTTTGTTTATGGACAGCCAACTGTTTCAGCATCATTTGTTGAAAGATTTTCCTTTCCCCATTAAAATCCGTTGATACCTTTGGAAAATCAGCTGGTCATTTATGTGGGTCTACTAGACTCTCTATTCTGTGCTACTGAGCTATACTTTTATCTACATTGCAATACCACACTATCTTCATTACTATAGCTTTATGTTAATTTTTTGTGTAACTGGGGATTAAACCTAGGGGTGCTCTATTATTAAGTTACACCCCCAGCCCTTTTAATTTTTATTTTAAGACAGGGTCTTATTAAGTTGCTGAGGCTGGCCTTGAATTTCTATCCTCCTGCCTCAGCCTCCCAAGTAGCTGGAATTAAAAGTATTCACCATCACACCTGGCCTTTAAGCTAATTCTTGACATAAGAAAATCCTTCAAATTTTTTTACTTTAAAAATTGTTTGTTCTATGAATTCTGCAATTTCATATAAACATTAGAAGCAGCATACAAATTTCTACAAAAAGGCTGCTCTTGTTTTGATTATCCATTTGGGGAAAATCAACATTTGAACATCTTGTATCTTCTGACTCACAAACATTTTAATTCTCTCTGACCCATAAGCCTTTAATTTAATTCAGCAATATTTTGTAGTTCTTGAAGTTCAGACCTTAAAGATTGTTATATTTTCTTAACTCCAATTTCCAAATGATCATTGTTAGTGTACAGAAATATAAATGCTTTTATATATTGACTTTGTATGCTACATACTTACTACAACTCTGTATGTCCTTTCTTTTTCTTTTCTATTTTTTTTTTTTTTTTTTTGTGGGGGTAGGGGGCTTGGGAGACAGTACCTGGGATTGGACTCAGGGGCACTAAACCACTGAGCAAATCCCCAGCATCCCAGATCCCTATTTTGTATTTTATTTAGAAACAGGGTCTTACCAAGTTGCTTAGCACCTTGTTGTTGCTGAGGCTGGCTTTGAACTCACAATCCTCCTGTCTCAGCCTCTGGAGCCACTGGGATTATAGGCGTGTGCTACCGTGCCTGACTGTCCTTCTTTTTCTTGTGTTACTGTACTGCTAGGTTCATCAGTGCACTATAAATAGTGGCAACAGTGGTCACCCTGTCTTGCTATAATCTTAGAAGGAAGGTGGTCAGGCTTTCATTGTTAGGTATGATATGGGTGGGATTTTTGATTTCTCTTCCTTTTTCTTAATCTGGTAAAGGACATTCCTACAGCATGCCCCTCCCCACTTTAAAGTTACCTCCTAGTAGGACTAGGACAGGAAAGGGTTCTTACTACAAATAGATGTTGAACTCTGCCAAGTCTGGCAATGTGCTAGTAGTAAGTTTTAATCTTTATACTTTAGATATAGACTCAGACCCAGAACTGGGATTCAGAGTGAGCCAGTTCAGTCAATTTACAGGTGAGTAGACTAAGGTTCTGAGAGGTGAAAAGACAGACATGTTCAAAGTGACTGCTAGGTTAGAAGGAGAAGGTAGGTCAATGCTAACACTTCTATACACCTTCTAGAAGATCTGTGAATTTTGTATGGGTATATGGACTAATAAAAATGAGCTAAAGTAACATTTAAGCACTGAGACAAGAGAAAATATAGAGATCTGACCTCTTTGCAGTTTCTGAGACAGGGCAAAGGACAATTACAGATTTTAATTGAGGCATTAGGTTTCCAGCTCAAGTGGTAATATCTATTGTCAACTACGTGTGTGTAACAAACAGCCAAAATTCATTACTCATTTATTGCTAACAGTTACTCCTTATGAACTATGAGAAAACAGGGACTCTGAAAATTTTCAAATACCACATCAATTTGATAGCATTGCTTTGTCAAGCCAGATTTGAATTTTTGACTAGTTTCTGAAAACTGGATTATTTTTATTAAGTTAAAATAGTCCCAAAATTTCTCAAAACAACGTTAAAAAACAAAGAGCTGACCTGGGAGGCGAGGGTGGTGCTGGGCTGCGGCTGCAGGAGGCTGGCTTGGCTCTGCTGAGGTAGCTGTGTTAGAAGGCTCTGCGCTTGCAGGAGACCTGGCAAACACGGACATGTTACACAGGATCACTAACGAGCACTGTGAACACACAGCCAAAGGAAGAACAGGGACGTGAACTGACAACTTCTAACCAATCTTCTAACAGTCAAACTCGTCCTGTTCATCTAAAATTCAATCTCGTTAAATACAAACTGGGCAAGTAGAAATAAACATGAATGTACGTGCCTTTAGTATAACCAGAATAAGTTCTCTGATAAGCCAATTCTTTATTTTAGCAAGGAATGGATGAAAATGTAGTTATTCTAAATGGAAGCAGTTGAAAATTCTAACAAGAGCTCCTCCTCTTACTCCCGCATCTGTTAGAATCTGCCAGTACCAGAGAAATACCCAATTCATGAAAGAACCAGGCTATTCTTTAAGTGGGAAAAAGATGCTGCTTTTAAGTTCTCTTTAACAAACATTTGCCTTCTGGCGATAATAAGGTGGAAATGTAAACTCTAAACTCTGTCTGATAGATGGGTGTGGTGGCATATACTTGTTATTCCAACTACTGGGGAGGCTGAGGCAGGATCCCATGAATGCAGAGTTCACAAGAGACTGCGAAAAAGGGAAAAAATAGCAATAGCAGCAATACTACACGATGACAACTGACTCTTGAGGAGAAATGTGAGTCCCAATGTGTTCATAGTAATGCTCAGAGGAGCACCTGAGTCTAGGATTTGTTACTTTCACAACCTTGTCAAGAAAGAACCAACCCAAAAGCTATTTTGTCCATCTACAACTAAAATATTAAAAAAATAAAGAACCAACCCACGATACTTGTATTCAAAGATTTAATATGGGTACATAGTTTTAAGTATAATGCTATTGCTAAAATACTAAATTTAGGATGATCTATAAGAGCAGTGGTAGGAATTCTCCAAAATGGTACATCAAACAAAGCCATTAAATATATATATATATAAATATATCATATATATATATATATGATAAGATTAGCTGGGAGCAACAAACTCTTCCTAATTTGGATTTTTTAGGCTATTGAATTTGGATGTACTGAATGTTGAAAAACTATATTCTATGACAATGATTAAAGGAAACCTGGTAAATAAAATCATTTATAAAAGGATTAAGAGAAAATTTAAAAAAATAGTGATAATAAATAAAACAGAAGAAAGCATGAAGGTCAGAAATCAGACCCCATTATTAAACTTAGGCATTTCAACATGTGTCTTTAGTTTGGCAATAAAATTTAGATTTTTGTTACTTATTCACAAAAGAATGTATTTCCAAAACGATTCTTATTCAATCATAAACTATAATCCCAAATGATTCATTTTGGTTGCTAGTAGAATGTTCTATGAATAAATTCAAACCATAGATCTTTTTCCTCCAAATGAGCACAGCTAAAAATGCTAGAAGGGCCCACAGAGGTTTAAAATTTACCTGAGGACCAACACTTGCCACCTCCCCCAACCTCAAAGAGTCAAACAAATGAAACACAAATGTATTCAACAGTTTCCCAAGAGGAACATTTCTTTGATACTTTTGGAATAAATGGAGAGAGTAGAAAAGGCAGTAGAAAGGTTAAGAGTAGAGATTTCCAATGTACCAGGCCTGGTGGCTTGCACCTGTAATCCTAGCAGCTTGGAAGGCTAAGGCAATAGGGTTCAAGTTTGAGGCCAGCCTTGGCAACTTAGCAGGGCCCTGTCTCAAAATAAAAAATAAAAAGGCTTGGGGATGTAGCTTGGTGATTAGGCACCCCTGGGTTCAATTCCTAGTACCAAAAAACAAACAGAAAATCCTCCAATAAATTTTAACTCAAGTTTAGAAATGTATTAGTAAGAATTTTCTTAAGAAAATCTAAGAAAAATAATAATAAAAATAATTCTGGAAAATGGTTTAGATTTGCCTCCCTTGTCAGAAATTAAATCTTATACAGTTAGTTATATAATAGCAATATTGCCAAAAGTACGAAGTATATTTCAAAAGTTCTGGATTAATAAATGAAAGGAAAAAAATCAGAAGAAATGGATATTTCAGGCTAATCTCATTCTGGAAATTATTATTAAAATCCCTACAAACTAAATCTGTCTCCTTCAACACTAATAGTTAAAAGTACGAGCTGTTCAGATACTCAGTGCTCCTGGTGCTGCTGACCACAATGGATTCCACTCAGGAAAGCCTAACACCCCCACCCCCACTCCCACCCCCACCCCGTTCTGACCCTGCAAGCTGCAAGTCAGCCATCTTAGAGAACCAGCAAGACTTGGCAGCAATGGCACCCTCAGACTCAGGCTACTTTTGAGCTGGTCTTTACTGTTCAAGGAGCCATCAGCTTCTGAAATAGCTGACAAGGTTTGATGGCGACAGCAGCCCGGACCCAGAGGTTTCCATCTATGAGGTTCCTTTAGCAAAGTGCCTCAGTGCATTTATTCACCAGCCCTCTGCAACCCTTGGGTACAGGCTGACAGTATCCTCTTGTTGCAGGGGAGGGAACTAAGGCACCCAGGCAATGAGGCAGAGCCCAGATTCATAGAGCAGCAGTGTGCCTTTGGAGTCTGTGCTCTTAACTACTACGTTACAATGACATTCCTGACATTGGTCAAACATTCTTCAAAACAGACCCATTTAAAGGGAAAGATGAAAAGGAAACACATGAAACTCAAGAAACGGTAGGTGACTTGTCCAATGTCACTGGCTCTAAAACCAATCAGCCTTCCACTGTCTGCACTCCTTCTCAATCTAAGGTATGAAGGGAAGAGGTTACAAACACAGATAACCTTGGCAAATAAAAAACAGGAAAATGAATACTCATTTGTTATTGCAACTATATTAAGGTGAATTTTATTCTTTTAAATAAATAAAATGCAGTCCCAGATTTGAAAGAGGAAAGACAGCGCTCTTGGATTTGCTGAGAGTCAACGAGAGGGCTCTCACTCAAACCTGAGGCTTCAAAAGTTTCCATGTCTAACGTGTGCACTTCTGTCTTGACTTTCCAAGGCCTCCTGCTCCAGACTGTTCCTCCTTCCCTGTAGGAATTCCCTTCCATTGGGACTACAACTCTTCACCAGCTCTGACTTCTAATTCTTCCTACATCTGAAGTGTTGGTTTTACCAACACTCTTCCACTACTTTAGCCCTCACTGAACTTCAGTAGGACCATCGCAATGTTCTCCTAATTGGTATTACTTTGTTCTTATCCATTCTAATTTTTCTTCTCCAAGTTTCGGCATGAGCTTTTTAAATACAAAATATGATATGCCACTTTTGCTTAAAGCTTCTGCAGTTTTGTATAACCTACAGAAGATTTCTTTATTGGAAGGTATTGGCCCATTCACATTAGACTCCCCAAATTGCTGGTTAAAATTCTGGGTGTGGGCTCAGAAATCTACTTTTCTAATTCTTCAAGTGACTAGCAAAAAAAAAAAAAAAAAAAAAAAAAAAAGGAACCTTGGGAAGAATTAAGCTATTAGATTTAAGGTCAAGCTTCTGGATACCATGCTAGTTCCTTGAATAATCCGGTTGGTCTCTCTTAATCTTTCTGTCCTTAAGTTTCATTATTATTCAAACATGTAACTTATAGTTTTTTAAGGCATTACTTAACAGTTCTTTGAACACAGCATATGAATTTTCCTCCATGTCTTTGAGCTTTGCAAAGCTGTTCACCTCCTCTTTATCATCCTGTGCATGCCATGCCTTATCCCATCTCTAAAGGCTGCTATGGGAACAAAGATATGGGGGTCTCTCTGCTCAGCTCCTGCCACATTCTGTGCTCATAGGTTCTAACACTCATAACAGTTCTGTTTCTCTTCACTAGACTGTGAGCTCTTTGAAAGTAAAAACTGGCTTATCCCTCTTTTAATTTTGAACATATGCTAAAATAGGTATTTACACAACAAAAGATTTTGGAATCATGACCAAGAAGAAAAAAGGCAAAAATCAAACCAAAACAAATGCTCCAGAGATAATGAAGAACTGATACTTGATTAGTGTATATTGTATACATGTGTATAAATATTACACTGTACCACATAAATACATACAATTATTTGATCATTATGCACTGTACACTGTACCAGTTATCACATTGTACTCCATAAATATGTACAATTAAAATGTATCTTAAAACATTAGTAGAGGGGCTGGGGTTGTGACTCAGTGGTACAGCATGGGTGAGGCACTGGGTTCGATCCTCAGCACCAAATAAAAATAAAGGTGTATTGTGTCCATCTACAGCTTAAAAAATATTTTAAAAAATCAGTAGAGATGCACAAATGTTTTTGGGTTGAGCTCTTGATACCCCAATGTTTTCTACACCGATAACATGAACCAGTCCTTACAAACATGACTGAACTTTTTTTTTACTGTTTGGATACAGTAATTATACAACAATATGTATTACATAAAGGGTGTTTTTTTTTTTAGTATTCAGGAGTGAACTCAGGGCCTTGGGCATGTAAGGCAAGTGCTCTACTGCTGAGTGACATCTCAAGCCTTAATTTTTTTTTGAGACAGGGTGTTGCTAAGCTGCCCAGGGTGGCCTCACACCTGCACTTCTGCTGCCTTCGGGTTCCAGCAGGTGCACACGGCTGTGCCCAGCTCAACGACATTCTTTAACCACTTACAGAATGTGGGCAGTTTCTAATATAGCACCCTTTCCTTCTTTAAAAGAAACTAAGTTAGAAGCATATACTTTCAAGGCTTCCTATATAGCCTTTGAATACACTCCCATGATGAACTATGGAAGCAATAAAAGCAATTTATCCAATTTGTGTTTGGCATGCTGAGTGGTTTCATTTAGACATTTGGCCAAAGCCTTGGTTCCTCTTTAGTGATGAAATGTTGACAAGGGAGGCAACCTTCAACCATGGGGTGTATATGACCAATAAGAAAAAAAAGAAAGAAAGCATATCTTTCTTTACACACATAATGATATTTTAAAATCAATATTCATGAAAACTATTATCCTAATGGCCAGCTGTAGTGTGAAAATGACACTCAGTGTGCGTGTCACATTAGGTGGACAGCCTTGGGGTGCCACTCAGGCCTAAGGAGAATCTCACCCTGCTGGCCCTGGGGCGTCTGTGAGATGATAAACTGCGCTGGTTGCAAGTTGGTGGTCGGGTGAACCAACACAAACTGCTGCAGGTTGAGATTCTGCTGTTGTAGCTGTTGTAGCTGTTGCAGATCCTGAAAAATCAGAATTAAACATGGAATGGAAATTCTGAAACCAACGCTCTCTTAATCCTAAGTTTCCCAGCCGACGACTTCTGTCACTCCACCTAGAGAAGAGTCAACATCTAGCATTATTTCATGTCCCAACAGTGTGTGCCATGAATATGCTTCACGAAGCATGGAAAGACACTGGGGCTTCCTAAGACCTTACTATTTCTGTGGGCATACAGAGAGTAAGCTCAGCCTGATTTTCAAATGATATAAAATCCTCTCTGAACCAATGGTTACAGTTCTATTTTTTAATGTATAGAGACCAACATGAGTTTTAAAACTCCCATTTTGTGACAAAACAGCTTTTAAACATGACTCATTTTGTTCTTGTTAAGAAAAATTGAGTGTTATGTCTGAATTTCCAACAATAAACTAAGATCAATGACTCATGAAATTTGACACCAGTTTATCTAACTCAACTGAGAAATCAGGGTTAAATTACTAAAAAGAGAAAAATAGCTATCCCTACAAAAATCTGGTCCATAGCATAACAATAGCCTCGGTGGTCTCTAGGGTCTTGTGGCTATCAGACTGCTTTCAGACACACTGCCTTGCCCAGACTCATGTCAACACACAAAGCTTGGTGACGAAGAAAGCAGCCCAAACTGAAATACTATCTTGATAAAAAAAGACTGCACAAAGAGTAATAAAGGTTAGCCTGACACCATTTTTTAAACATCTAGTCAAACTCTTGCAACAATTTAAGTCTACTATTGAGTCTTCTCTGGGGGATAAAGGTAATTGTCCAGAATTAGACTTATAACTCTTCATATATTTTACTCATTGAATGAAAGTTCACCTTTTTCCTCTTTGTGAGATAAAAGATTTATTTTTCTCCTTGGTCCTACTGTCTATGCCTCTTAAATAATTTCTTTAATTGTATTTGGATTCTTCACCCTAAAATGAGAAAAATCAGCCAAATAACACTGTACTGTGATTCTCCACAGTGCTAATCGCTCCAGAGCAGAGATGCCTTGCTGTCTCCCACACATGGTGGCCGTTCGCTGCCAGCACGTGAAGAAGCACGCCTGCTGCAATTAGCTAATTAAGATAAACGCAGTAATCCCCTGCCTCAGAAATTCACCAGCTGCTTATTCAAGATCATCGCTTATATAAACAGTCAGTTATTCAAATAATCTGCTATGTGTTTATAACACCAACTCAAACAAGCAAACAAATGAATTATTGTGAACTCAGTAGTAAGAAAGAACTCTGTTAACTCACTATCTGGAGTTCCACACCAACCATCATAAAGCTAAGTGGACACTAAATAAAACCCACCACTTCCTCCTCGCTCACCTGTGCGATCTGGATGGGCTGAGACAGGGGGATCTGAGTCATAGGCGTGGCAGCAGAGGCGGAGATGGTAGCACCAGCAGCGCTGTGCTGCTGGCTGGCGGAGTGCTGCTGCACAGCTGCGGCCAGTAGTTGGGCCTGGGCTTGGGCTTGCTGCAGCAGCAGCTGCTGCTGGGCTGGTGTCAAGGTGAGCTGTGTGGACCAGAGCAGACAGGGTGTGGGTTGAAGAAGCTGACCTCCTACAGGACAACTGCTCTAAGTAAGTGACTCAAGTGGTGCCTGGCCCTAGTTACCCAACTTCACAATCAGCACTGCAGCTAAAATGTTTACTAGTGATTAAATGACCATCACTAGCAGAACATTTGAATTAAAATGGTAGTTCTCACTCCGGACTTAATCATTCAAGCTTGCCCAGGGCTCTAGGGTTCAGGCAAGAAAGTAATTAACTAGTAAGCAAGGGGAAAAAAAAAAAAAGAATTAATGCTGACAGGATATGAAAAGAAATTTACACCCAACAGAACAGCAACTGATGAGCCAGATGAATGAGGAACAGGGATGCTGGATACTACCAGGAAAAGAACTGATAAGGCCCAGCTGCCTCCCCCTGGCACAAACCCCACCATATTCCAGCATTCCCATTATGTCCTAAGATGTGACTAAAGACTATGAGGCCATTTGCTTCTTTTCTAAATCTCCCTACAGACCCCTCTCACACAATCTTTTCTGTGTTGAAAGCACCGAATCTCTGCAACTTTACATCCCCTTCCAACATATTATCTCTGTGAAATAGGTGGTGACAACCACTTTCTTTACATGCAAATGAACCTTAATGCCCAGGTTTAATAGAAACTCCAGCCACAAGAACCTGGAATCTCAAGTGCCTCTTACTATCATAGACACCAGTAACCAAAAAGCTGCATATGGTAAAGTGGGAAATGTATATAGAGCCGATTTACACTTGCTTTCGTAAAGCAACTTATTTAAAATAAGCGTAAATCCAAGTTGCAAGTTTACAGAACTGTCATTTTGGAAACATTTCTAATTAAAAAAATAAGAAATCATGTAATATTCTGAAGTGCATTAAGAGTCACTTAGAGGCACAACCCTCCTTCTAAAAGGTTCTAACACAATCTGTGCATTATAAACAAGAATCAAGCTAAGCATGGCAATGCAAGCCTGTAATCCCAGCAACTCCAAAGGCTAAGGCAGGATAGTACCAAGACTGAGGCCAGCCTGGTCAACTTTGCAAGACCCTGTTCCAAAATTAAATAAAAAAGGTGAAGGGTAGGAGGGAGCAGGGGGAAGGTCTGGGATGGAACTCAGTGGCTCAATCTCCAGTACCAAAAACCATATATATACACAGATATATGCATGCATCTTTTTATTCTGAGGTTTGACGTGATATAAATGATGTCTTAAAGAAAGCTGGAAATTTACTGCAGTCACATAGGCCAATTTGTTACCAGTAAAAATAAATTTACTGAACGTTACGTACCAAGCACGGTTTTATGAGCTTTACATATATCATCTCTAATCCTTATAACAGTATTGCAATAGGTATTACTGACACCTCCATTTTACAGGAGGAAAACTGAGGTTCAGGGAGATGAGTAGTCAGCCCAGGCAGTATGCTGCAGAGCCTGGTATGAGACCACGTATTTTAGAACATTATTCAGTCACTTAGGAGAGAACGTTTCCTTTTGTTGGTACTAATCCACTCTTGAACTTCTATCCTGCAGTGACGTCGTGATTCTAAACTGACAACTGCCACTTAACCAATATAATGAATGGTCTCGACACGACTCCATCTCATGATGAAGGAACACCTGAACATGGGTTTAGAAACTCCTCAGGTTATCTGCAACTGTAACAAAAGACATCCTGAAAACCTGTGACAGAGCTGTCTGCAGCACTGGCAGTTCCTTAGACACAACAATGCCATGTTCAGTAAACAGTGCTGATCGGATGTTGGCTGATGGCACTTGTGACACAGGAAGAGTTTATTAAGATGTTCTCAGTGGAAACTTACCCCAGTTATCTGTCCTCCAGCAAGCATGAGCTGGGTCTGGGGGATGGCCGCCTGCACGGAAGGCTGCGGGGAAGGCTGGCTTGGCTGTTGAGAGTCCCCTGACTCTTCATTAGATTTAGACTGAGGTGGGAAGGATAGGAAATGAAAGAATACAACAGCTGATTAAACGAAATGTATTAGTAACTCCATATTTTAAGAATCATTTAAAATATGGGTTATTTGATGATGAATTCTCTATTTCTCTTTTTCTTTCTTATTCACTTATATCTTCCTGGTTTTGCATATAAGTTTTTAGTTTTTATTCTAGTGCCAGCAATGTTGCAATTATATTTTTTAAAAATAAAAAATAAATTGATCCTCCACTTATCAAAAGAAAATTTTACAACCGCAAATCCTTATCCGTTTCTGTGTCAGACCCTCTATACTAACATCCTGACACAGACTTGGCAGTCTGGAGCTTCTTCATAGGCCACCTTAGGGGCTCACTGTTTGACCCAGAGAGTTTCTCCTGTACTATTTTAAATGACCTGTAAATCTAGCATCTTCGTCAAGCTTGAGGGGAAACACCGCAGTCAAGAAAGAGCACATACTCCTGAGAGGGGCACAGAGAGAAAATTTTATGGTAATTAAAACTGGTTATGTAGAGCATTAAAATTCTGCATAGATTTGCATATTTCCCACCACCTGTTTTGGGGACTGCAGCAGGGCTAATTAACATAAAAGCTCTGATTAATTCTGCCAGTCATTGAAAGATAATTACAGTGCAGGACTGTAAACATTCTGCACTGGAGATACAGCCTGTTTGCCAACATCCCTCTAAGGGATGAAAGTCTACCATGGCAACCAAGGCAATTTTCTACCTCCTCTCCCTCAGAAAGGAAGATCACATTATCTCCTTTTCTTTTCTCTCCTTGTTTCCATGTGTTACAAGGTCCATATTCCACTGGGTTTCATGGAATGCTCAACCCAAGGTCTTTAGTCACTAGCAACACTGAAATCAATCCACCACAGTACTGTTGCTACCTCTTGACTGCTAGTCACCCTACACTATAATGAAAAGAAGCCGAAGGAGGGATGCATGACACCTGATTTCCGCACGCTCTGCTACATACCACATGTTCACATGTGCAAACTTACAAGATTTAAGTTTTGCTTTAAATTTTTGTCTATCTATACACCAACATCCATAAACAGGTTTAGTTACAATTTTTAGAAGCATAACATAAAGTACAGAGGAACTCTGGCAATTTTACAAATATCCACATTTCAATGAAGATAAAGGGGAAAAAAAACTGGGTCCCCTCAAGTGACATGACTTGCTAAAAGTCACACAGTTAGTTCACACCTAAGACTTCCACAATTCTCAGTCCAGGGCTCTCTGCATTGTTTTCCTGAGACATGAAAGATGAAAATAAAAAGACCTTTGGAAACAAAAGAGCATTTAAGAGATTATATGGCTTAGTGATTAGATATGTGTACAGTGTGACTTAGAAACATTTTATTGAACTTATATATAAAACTTTGAAGGCAGACTTTTCTCATCCATCTTTGATTAATGCATAGAATATAAAATTGATTTTCATGAATGGCAATAATTATCATTTGTATCTTTATGATGTTCAGTAATAAAAATATAGAAATAAATAATAAGAAAATTTAAAAATGGTAAATAGTAATACTTTTGTTTCCTATTATAAAATTATTATGTGCTCATTATAGAAAATTTTGGAAAAACTGACCCATTATCTCATGTCCCAGCTTACCTGTACATTTAAAGACTGAGCAGCAGCCTGTAAACTTGTTCCAGCGAGCTGGACCTGTAAGTAAAGTAATAAAGGGAGGTTCTAGGCCAATACCGTTGGCATTCATCACCAGAGGTGTCCTCAACATTTATAGACTCTCCATTGAAGGCGTGTGGCTGAGAGAGAAGGTAAGTACAACGAGCTCATCTTACTGGGTGAAGACGTAATGGGAAAGTTCACAGTCCCCATCTCCACTAGAAGATGCTGCTGATTTTTTCTGAAGCTGTTTTCACCCTAACTGAGTATTCACAGGGTTTTACATCTGTATTGGATGTGCCTACTTAACATGTCTGTATTTACAGGATGCCTAGATCCTGAGCACTTAATTCATCTTTCACGTATGTTAAAGGACACATAAGAATAAGCTCCCTAACATATTAGTTTATCATTAAAAATGAGAACCATATACTTCTTTCATAATTTCCATGTATACAGAGTAAAACTTTCTTTTAAATCTTTTTGTTTTAATTAGTTATACGTGACAGTAGAAGGCACTTACTCACTTTGATAGATCATACATAGCAGAGTAAAACTTTCATATATGCATACCAACACAGGTAAATCCTTAAAATATTTAGCATCATAACTTAACATTTCTAGCTAAAATAATCTGTCCTATAAACCACACATGAAAGTTTGTCAAAATATTTACATTTCACACATTCAGAAAGTTCAAAATCACAGTTATGTTGAAATATGGGTATAGAGCCAGTCTACTCCCAGCAGCTCAGGAGGCTGAGGCAGGAGAGGCAGGAGGAGAGTTCAAGACCAGCCTCAGCAAAAGGGAAGGGCTAAGCAACTCAGTGAGACCCTGTCTCTAAATAAAATACAAAATAGGGCTGGGGATGTAGCTCAGCGGTCAAGTGCTCCTGAGTTCAATTCCTGATACCTGCCACCCCATCCCACCCACTCTCCCCCCATCCTCACATGCACGCGCGCGCGCGCGCGCGCGCGCGCACACACACACACACAAAGAATATGACAGGAATTAGACAGCCATTGTTTGGCAACTGTGAAAACTGTCTCAGGCAGGAGTCATCACTGGATGATCAACTACGGACAAGATTTGAGGAGTAACAGGAAATTGACAAGGTCTCAACTATTTCTCCCCAAGTGCTAATGACAAGAGCAAACTCGTACCTTTACAGTGGGCTAGGGCAGCAGTGACCAAGCAAGCACAGAGCAAGGATACTCGTGCCTCCTGCTAGGATGCACTGTGAGGAGCACCCACTCCCTGCATGGTAGGGAGAGAAAGGAGCACAACAATGCTCCCACCAATCGAGGATTCTGGCAAGGGACTGTACACTGGAGGAACAGAGCATCATGAATCACTCCAGGGCTCAAACTTGAGAGACTGGGAAATGGCTGTGTCACCAACAGGGAAGGCAGAAGTAGTTCCGCTCTGGATATACCACAGAGCATTAAGATGTTCTGAAGTTAATGGACTCGTGGAGTGAAGCGCTAAAATTCACTGACGCTAAGTCCTTTATTTGAAATGACTCTACTAACAGTGCTGTTAGTAAAGACTCCCCCAAAGGAAACAAAAACAGAAACTCCCCCTGCCGAGATTTATTGGAGAACACATTTTAGATCCACTGGACTCAAAGAGACCAACCTGAAGAGAGAATATTTACAGCATGCAGCCCAGGAGAGGCGAGCCCCAGCAGAGGAAGGGGTTTCAACACAGAGGTTTAAAGGAGATCAAGTTCTATGTGACTTTATTTAAACCATGATGTGATGCTCCTGGGCTAACACTTGTTGAGAAACAGGATATTTATGCAGTTTTGCAGAATCACTCCACAGATTATTAGTTACAAGGAGGAAACAGTGACTTACAGTGGATCAATCGGACAAACAGACCTTAGTTGAATGATCAAACTTAGTATTACAAAAACAGGACAAGGCAATATCCTATGCCTTTGGACACAATGTTTAGGAGTGTTTCTTTCAAAACCACTCCAGTCATGAGAAAACATCAAACAAACCCAAATGAGAGGTATTCTATAAAATAGCTGGTCTTTCTCTACTCTTCAAAATTGTCAGTATCATGAAAGACAAAGAGGCTGAGGAATTGTTCTGAACAAATGTGAAGACTAAACACAAAGTATGGACTGGATCATGGACAGAAAATATTTAAATAGTAACCATATATTAGAAAATAGTCTCATATCAGTGCTGAACTTCTGAAATTTGAATTGTAGTTTTTAACATAATGTTGTTTATAGGAAAAGCATATTTAAGTGTTTATAAGCAATCAGCCACAATGCCTGCAATGTACTCTCAAGTGATTTGAGAAAAAAATTCACATTTTCTATGTGTATATATGTACACACACAAACACAAAGAGCAATAAAGTAAATACCATAAAGCAGCAACCACTGGTGATTTCAGACAAACATTGTTCCACTGCAACTGTGTAGATTTGAAAGTTTTCAAAACAGAAGGATAAAATAAAAAAGAGAGCTGCCCTTTAACATTTGATTTTGCTAGTTTCTCACATTTTCCTAGGCTCAGCTGAAAAGGACATTTCTTTGGCTTCCATCCTTTTGCTAGGAGGTACTGGAGGGTCTGTGACCTTGGAGGCCCCAGAGCTGGTTCAAGGTTTGCAACCATCTTAGAATCTAGACCAAGGGGAAAAGACTGCATGCCATCCATGCACCTCCGCCAACTGTTAAAACTGTACATTTGGACCATGTTATGGCTTGGATGCTACATGCACCCCCGAAGGACCATGTGTTGAAAAGCTTGGGACCTAGTAGAAGAAAGCTAGGTCACTGAGGACATGCTGTCAAGGGGGACATTAGGACCTTGGCCCCTTCCTTTCCCTTCCTCTTTGCATCTTGGTCATCCTTTGGTGTGTGGCTTTGCTCCACCAAACATTCCTTACTATAATGCTCTGCTGTATCACTGGCCCGAAGCAACGGGGCCAAGCAACCACAGACTAAACTTCTGAAATTGTGAGCTAAAATCAATCTTTCCTTCATTAGTTGATTTTGCTCAGGAGTTCTGTTACAGTTCAGAAACCTGATTAATATAGAGTGACATACATCGAAGCCAATAAAAGATGCTTTCTATGTACAACATAATTAACTACATGCATAAAAGACATGACTCCCTTTAATGTCAGAGAACTTGTTGGAAGTTTAAATATGTTCTTAGAAGAAAATAAACATGATAACATTTTTATAGATTATGTTACGTTTCTCTGATTCAAAGATGCAGTTGTCCCTCCTATCCACAGGTAATACATTCCAATATTGGCCCCTCACTGATGTTTGAAACTGCAGATAACACCAGACCTGTGTATACTAGAATTTTTCTACAGAGAGATAGCTACAATAAAGCTTAATTTACAAATTAGGCCAGTAAGAGATTAGCAAAAAAATTAGAAACAAAATAGAGCAATTAAAACAACGTACTGCAACACACATCATTTGAAACTTGTGAACGGTTTCTGGAATTTCCATCATGGATAACAGAGACTGTAGGTAGGGGGCACAGCACAGACAAAGCCATGTGGCTAAGCACAGCATGGACAAGGCTTGGCCCTCGAGAAGCAGCTGGCTGTTGCCAACAACCCCCTCTGCATCTCTGGACAAATCACAGGCTTTGGAGTAGCTTTCCTGAATTTCATCTGTTTTCAGGTAGAGAAAAACTTCTTTTACAGTTTAGATAGTCTTATAGTATATTTTTATGAGAAGAGTAGAGCATCATGAAATGCATCCATTCACAGCAACTTAACATGAGAACACACAGCCTGGGAGGGTTCATGTGGGCTTATCACTGAGTTGCCGCCCCCATTAGGCATACTGTTACCAGCATCACTACTAGCAAATACATTGTAAGCATTAAATTAATTCTAGGCTTTGAGGAGAAACCACTAACATGTGAAGTGTGTCTCTTAATACAGAATTATGAACATAAATCAAGAAGTGGGATGCTCTGATCATATACCGCCTGTTTTCACTGCTAGCTTTCCACTGTCAATCAGCTCTCATATCCCAAAACTCTTAGGTGGCCAATGTTTGTTTTGTGCTCTCTTCCCCTTTACATTATAGGTATAACACAGATGAAGAGAATCCACGGTCTGTTTTAGACTCATGAAAAAAAAATTCCTCTGGTGTCTGGGTAATAAAGCTGAGGCAGGACTTTTTAAACCTCAAGCTAGGGGGGTCACAGTCGAGCAAAAGGCTCTGAGTAGTTGCCTGAATCAAAAGATTGGAAGCTGTTTCAAAGAAGGGATAGGAGCACTGCACCCAGAGTCCTATACCAGAGGTGACAGGCAGCAGTAATTTTGCCATTTTTGGAGGACTGACTTCAGTAGGCCACCACAAACTCACATCAGGCTCAGGATCTAGACCCAATGACCCAGATGTTACAGACATTCCATTCAACAAGAAATGCCCCCAGCCCCCGCCTGTGGCCTCAATGGCTGTCCAGTCAACTAAGGTGTACTGATTCCATGCTAACCATTTGGATGACACAATTAGATGGGATCAGTATAGGGTTTACTTAATTTTAAAAGTCTCACATTCTGAAAAAACTTCCCCAGGCCCTAGCACTTCAGGTCTCCATCTTTTACTCTCACTTATGATTGAGCAGAACATTCTACCTGATGGAGATGTCCAAGGAAAGCCTGGGCCTGGGCTGTTGAGATTGCTCCTCCAACAGGCACAGGCTGCTTCTGGAAGTCCAGACCATTGGTTTGTGTGCCTGGAAAGCAAGCGAAATGATTAGAACTACTACAAGAAAAATTTCAAACTGAAGAGAGTAACAGACTTCAGTTACCAATGTAACTGAATGTTCATAAGAACTTACTTTGCATAAGCACTTTTGAAATACCTCCAAGGAGAAGATGGGAATAAAAAAAAAAAAGAAAATATAGTAAAATGGTTTCTCTTCAGAATATAGGACTACAAGACAAGTTTGTAACATAAACAATGAATTATAGCCATTATGTGGCACTATATCATTCTCACTATTGTAAAGAATGGTAGAGACAGAGTTCCAAAAGAGGCACCAAGCCTCTCTTCTACTCTCATCATACTTGATATTTGGCTTGGACAAAAGAAAAGCACTATGACTTTGCAAGAGCAAGGAGTTACTATTGATTTAAACCCTTTAATGAATGATGCCTCTGATGCCAAAGAAGTTCTTTATCCAGTAAGCACAATGAAAACCAAATAGTTGTACTGATTTCTCCAATTCCAAAGTATGGATTACTCCACACGGTATCCCCCAACCCCACATCCACCCCAGGGATCCAATCCAGGGCCTCATGCATGCCAGGCAAACACTCTAATCACTGACCTACATCCTAGCCAACTATACACATCTATTAGCAAGGGCTCTGCTCTAATTATATTTTTCAAAATGTTTTGCCAGTGCTTTTTAAAAATCTCTTATGCTGTGATTTCATGTTGGAACAGAACTGATTTTATGGAAGGACAGGGCACCCTAACACCCAGAAATATTTTCTCAGGAATATAATACATTGTTTTCAAACTCCTATATCCAGTTATTATTTTTAAAAAGCCAGAATACTTTATACTGAATAAAGCATAACTGACCAGGAGCCTCCAAAGTCTTCTGGTACAAGGACATTTCCTACAACTCCCACACCTCACCTTCCTACCCTTACACAATGTGGCCATGCCCTGGGCAGGCAGGAGAACAGAGCCAGAACCTGACTGCATCACTGTTAAGACCTCTCATTTTTGCCACCACATACCCTAATTTCTTAGGTATACTGCACGACCCGGAAGAGCTGTTTGAGGTCTCCTTAAGATAATCACAAGAGAAATGTGTGTGTGTGTGTGTGTGTGTGTGTGTATACACACACACACACACACACACACACACACACTTCACTTCCTGAAAAAGTCACAGATCATTTCTTGTGATTTTCTTTCCTAAAGTCTCCCACTTTGGGAAACTTTAGGACTACCTAGACACAAAACAGTTAATGCATTTAAGAGTACAATTGTGTCAATTAATTAGAAACTAGCATGAAACAAATTTTAAAGTAATTAGAGTCACTTCCATAGCCAAATCCAGAAGTTTTACTATTTTAAAGTTGTGTTTTGTCATTAATTGCTGCTTTTCTCTCTATGCAGGAAATCATTACCTACATGAAGATTTTAAGTTGTACACCCTAAGATTATTTAGTCAATCATAACTCAGCAAAACTGGGCGAAAAGACTGTGTACTTTTGGAGAAATCTGTTCAAAACATACTAAATAAGCCAACATGGCTAAAAGATGAGATTAGGAAAACCAGAGCACTTAGAGATTCATTTCAATGAGAAGTCTTCCAGAGCCAACTATTTCACTCTTATGGAGTCAAAATTCTATACACTGGGCTGGGGATGTGGCTCAAATGGTAGCACGCTTGCCTAGCATGCGTGAGGTACTGGGTTCGATTCTCAGCACCACATAAAAATAAAAAAATAAAGACATTGTGTCCACCTAAAAGTAAAAAATATTTTTTAAAAAAATTCTACACCCTGAGTCCACCTTCCAGTTCCCATAAAAACGATGACAAACTCCTTGTAAGTCACAAATCATCACACAACAAGAGACTCGTTTCTGGTATCCCCGGCCAATGCTCTACAGTGGGCTGCTGCTAATCACAGTAGTAGCACTCAGCTGGGGCTCTGCCTGGCGGGG